AATCTGAAAAGGCACATTGGAACAGCCAGGTTTTCAAATTCTTTCTGAAGACTGCCAATGTAGGGGCTTGTCAGATCTTTCGGGAGGGCGTTCCAGAGGCGGGGGGCCACCATAGAGAAGGCCCTGTCTCGCGTCCCAACCAAGCGCGCTTGTGACGCGGGCGGGATCACGAGCAGGGTCTCTCCCGATGATCGAAGTGAACGTGTGGGTTCGTAGACAGCGATACGGTCACGCAGGTAGGGTGGTCCCAAACCGTTCAGGGCTTTGTAGGTAAGCACCTGCACCTTAAATTGGGCTCGGAAGACAAACGGCAGCCAGTGGAGCTCCTTGAACAGGAGGGTTGACCTCTCTCTGTAATGGGCCCCAGTTAACATCCTGGCTGCTGCCCGTTGGACTAATTGGAGTTTCCGAGCCGTTTTTAAGGGCAGCCCCATGTAGAGCGCATTGCAGTAATCCAGTCTAGAGGTAATCCAGTCTAGAGTTGCAAGGATTTATAGTTCACCTACAATCAAAGAGCATTCTGAACTCCACCAATGATGGAATTGAATCAAACTTGGTACACAGAACTCCCATGATGAACAGAAAATACTGGAAGAGTTTGGTGGGGACTGACCTTGAGTTTTGGGAGTTGTAGTTGCTGGGATTTATAGTTCACCTACAATGAAAGGCACCAATTCTCAATATGCTCAAATGTGAACACTGGTGGAGTTTGGGGAAAATATACCTTGACATTTGGGAGTTGTAGTTGCAAGGATTTATAGTTCACCAAAAATCAAAGAGCATACTGAACTCCACCAATGATGGAATTGAATCACACTTGGCACACAGTTCTCCCATGACCAACAGAATATACTGGAAGGGTTTGGTGGGGACTGACCTTGAGTTTTGGGAGTTGTAGTTGCTGGGATTTATAGTTCACCTACAATGAAAGGCACCAATTCTCAATATGCTGAAATGTGAACACTGGTGGAGTTTGGGGAAAATATACCTTGACATTTGGGAGTTGTAGTTGCTAGGATTTATAGTTCACCAAAAATCAAAGGCATGAATTCTCAATATGCCCAAATGTAAACGCTGGTGGAGTTTGGGGAAAATAGACCTTGACATTTGGGAGTAGTAGTTGCTGGGATTTATAGTTTACCTACAATCAAAGGCATGAATTCTCAATATGCCTGGCACGAATTCACCTACAATCAAAGGCATGAATTCTCAATATGCCCAAATGTAAACACTGGTGGAGTTTGGGGAAAATAGACCTTGACATTTGGGAGATGTAGTTGCTAGGATTTATAGTTCACCTACAATCAAAGAGCATTCTGAATGATTGAATTGAGCCAAACTCCCCACACAGAACCTCCATGACCAACAGAAAATACTGTGTTTTCTGATGGTCTTTGGTGACCCCTCTGACACCCCCTCGTGACCCCTTATGGGGGTCCCGACCCCCAGGTTGAGAAACACTGCAGTAGAGTAACGTTTATCCTGAGGCCCATGGAGGTCATTCCAACACCCATCCAGGGCAAAACAAGGGTGCATCTACACTGGAGAATTAATGCAGCTTGACACCACTTGGGCTGTACTGGCTTGTTCAGTAGACTCTCTTCTACAGTTCCATATTGAATGCAATATTCCTGCTTCTTGGCAGGGGGTTGGACTGGATGGCCCATGAGGTCTTTTCCAACTCTTTGATTCTATGATTCTAGGGCCATGTTCCAGAAGCATTCTCCTCTGATGTTTCACCCACATCTATGGCATCTGAGGATGCCTGATATAGACGTGGGTGAAACGTCAAGCTTCTGGAACATAGCCATACAGCCTGGAAAACTCACAGCAACAAAGTGATTCCGGCCATGAAAGCCTTTGACAACACATTAACACCACTTTAACGTTGCTCAAAAATTAAGGAATTAGTTGTTTGGTGAGACAGAGAAGACTAAAGATCATGTATAACTAGTTTCCAGGATACTGTAGCAGTTTGAAGTGGCGCAAAACTGCATTAATTCTACGGTGTAGATACAGAAACAACCCTCTCAAAAGACCTTATTTCTAGTCTGCCACCAGCACTCTATGCTCACCCAAGTGACCAGTGGATCCGAGACAAATCCCTCCAGCGTCTCATCCATTGTGTCATCGATTCGGCGCTCTTGACGGCACCCTGCGAGCATTAGGTGCCCCCTTTTTTCCTCCCCGATGGGCCTTTTTCTGCTTCAAACTCAACTTTGGCAACTTCCTTCTGCAATTTGAGGTGTGGGAAGGTGGGGAGGAAGCCGGGCCACCGCAGCCGTGACACACAACGCAGAGGCTCGGCTCGCCGACTTCGTATTTCTCCACCGCAGAGGAAGTTCCACAACTGCAACGCACCCCAGCGGAAAGATTGCCAACGTTTTGAAATGAGTGGCCCCAAAGCACCATAGGGCTCCGTTGACTTCATTTCCTGGCACGGAAACAATGAAGTGCCTACTCAAACAATCGGTTCCGGTTTTAGTCTGAACTACTTGGTGGCACAAGGTCAGGCGAGACTTGTCGAGGCGGAAAACGGGACCAAACATCCCATCGTCTAGAGTTGTTATTACGTGTGCTAGGAAAAGATTCCACGTAAAGATTTATCTATTTATCATGTCAGAAGCAAGTTGAGTGTACAAAGTTACTTACTTTAATGTATTGTCGAAGGCTTTCATGGCTGGAATCACTAGGTTCTTGTGGTTTTTTTCGGGCTATAGAGCCATGTTCTAGAGGCATTTCTCCTGACGTTTCGCCTGCATCTATGGAAAGCATCCTCAGAGGTAGTGAGGTCTGTTGGAATTAGGACAATGGGTTTATGTATCTGTGGAATGGCCGGGGTGGGGCAAAGAGCTCTACTCTGCTGGAGCTAGGTGTGAATGTTTCAACTGACCACCTTCATTAGCATTTGAAGGCCTGGCTGAGCCTGGGAAATGTTCTGTTGAGAGGTGTTAAGATGTGCCTGGTTGTTTCCTCTCTGCTGTTTTGCTGTTGTAATTTTAGAGTTTTTTAATACTGGTAGCCAGATTTTGTTCATTTTCATGGTCTCTTCTTTCTGTTGAAATTGTCCACATGCTTGTGGATTTCAATGGCTTCTCTGTGTAGTCTGACATGGTGGTTGTTGGTGTGGTCCAGCATTTCTGTGTTCTCCAATAATATGCTGTGTCCAGGCTGGTTCATCAGGTGCTCTGCTATGGCTGACTTCTCTGGTTGAAGTAGTCTGCAGTGCCTTTCATGTTCCTTGATTCGTGTTTGGGCAATGCTGCGTTTGGTGGTCCCTATGTATTAAAAAACTCTAAAATTACAACAGCAAAACAGCAGAGAGGAAACAACCAGGCACATCTTAACACCTCTCAACAAAAGATTTTCCCAGGCTCAGCCAGGCCTTCAAATGCTAATGAAGGTGGTCAGTTGAAACATTCACACCTAGCTCCAGCAGAGAAGAGCTCTTTGCCCCATCCCAGCCATTCCACAGATATATAAACCCATTGTCCTAATTCCAACAGACCTCTGAGGATGCTTGCCATAGATGCAGGCGAAACGTCAGGAGAAATGCCTCTAGAACATGGCCCTATAGCCCGAAGAAACCCACAAGAACTTACTTACTTTACTTACTTAGGCGATCCCTCGTTGTCCGAGTAGGATAATCCTCCAGACTGTGAAGCCCTATTCTTGATCTGCATCTTCTCCCGCAGTGAAGACATCAGTTTCCAGGTGGAAGGCGGTCCCGGTTGGGGTTGGCTTGATGCGCCTTCCTCTTGGCACCTTTCTCTCTTTCGCCCTCCATTCATGCCTCTTCAAATTCTACAGCACTGCTAGTCACAGCTGACCTCCACCTGGAGTGCTCAAGGACCAGGACTTCCCAGTTCTGTCTCTATGCCAGAGTTTTGAGCCCATCTTTCAATCTCTTTTCCTGCCCTCCAACATTCCGTTTTCCGTTCTTAAGTTCGGAGTAGAGCAACTGCTTTGAGAGACGGTGGTTGGGCATCCGGACAACGTGGCCGGTCCAGCGGAGTTGATGGTGGAGGACCATCGCTTCAATGCTGGTGGTGTTCGCTTCTTTCAGCACGCTGACATTTCCCCGCTTGTCTTCCCAAGAGATTTGCAGGATTTTCCGGAGGCAGCACTGATGGAATCATTCCAGGAGTTGCATGTGACATCTGTAGACAGTCCACGTCTCACAGGCGTATAGCAGGGATGGGAGAACAATAGCCAACAAGGTCCTTGGTAGACCTACGGATGTCCCGGTCCTCAAACACTCTGTGCTTCATTTGGGAAAATGCTGCACTCGCAGAGCTCAGGCAGTGTTGTATTTCAGTGTCAATGTTGGCATGCTGCAATGATTCAATGGGATTCCTTCCCAGGCAATCCACAGAACCCAAGATGCTTGTCTGTTCTTAAGGTGAAAAGCACACATTTGCATTTTAGATGGATTAGGAATCAGGTGGTTTTCCCTGAAATAGGCAGTAAGAGCACCTAAAACTTTGGAGAGCTTCTGTTCAACCATTTCAAAGCTCCCTGCTTGAGCAGTGATGACATGATCATCAGCATAGTTGAAACTCTTCTGATTAAACAGAACAAAGAAACAGCAGAAGAGGAAACAACAGAGGAAGAGGAAGAATGGCTTTTTGAGTCTTTGAGGCTATACAACGACCTTCATGTGTTTGAGCTTCAGGATCCCACCAGAGTCATCGAATGGACAGGAGAAAAACGTGTCTGTGTTGCTGGATGTGGAAACGGGAGAAGGAATGAGATCCTCCAGCTCGTTTTGCCTCCAAGGCTGTGTGCCAAGGAGAACCAGTAGGATATTTAGGTACCACTTATGCGGGGAGGCTAACTTATGATGCCATAAAAATCTCCAGCAAGCATGCAAAGAATGAGGAAGTACTTCATCAGTGTCACAAATGGACGTGGAAGTGACAGCTCCTCTGGTGGCCAGAATACCCTCATGAAAAAGCTAGAATGTTAAATAGCCTCTGTGTGTCTGTCTATATATGTTGTGTGTTTATGGCATTGAACGTTTGCCATGTATATGTACATTGTAATCTGCCCTGAGTCCCCTGCGGGGTGAGAAGGGCGGAAGAGAAATACTGTAAATAAATAAATAAATAAAAATGGCAGCCTTCCAGACATTAGTGTATCACAGCTCCCATCAGCTCTGGTTATGACGTCTAATGAAGAATAATGTGGGAGTTGTAGTCCAGCTATATAAAATGACAAGGAGGGCCGTATTTGGCCCGCATACCTTGAGTTTGACACAACATAAAAAACTACAGGTGTATAACATAAGGGGGTTTTTTTTGTCATATAAGGAGCAATTTGAGAAACTGCAAGTCGCCTCTGGTGTGAGAAAACTAGCCGTCTGCCCAGATGTTTTGATGTTTTTACCATCCTTGTGGGAGGTTTCTCTCATGTCCCCACATGAGGAGCTGGAGGTGATAGAGGGAGCTCACCCGCGCTCTCCCTGGGTTCGAACCTGCGACCTGTCAGTTTAACCCACTGCGCCACTGGGGGATCTATAATAAAAGTGATGAAGTACTATCTGGATGTGCATCCCAGCACATCCCAAACACACACAAGCAGAAGAAGCACCAAACCAATAAACCAGTAAAGTTTTATTTTAGACTGTTTTATATCCATGATAACCGAGCCCATAGTGTAGGGGATTAAAACAACTATGCAAAGGCCATCTCATCCCGATTTCAAGCCGAATCCTGCATGCCACAAATGTGATCAGCCTGCGGGAGTCAGGAGATGGGCGACAAGAGCCTTGAAGGGCTTCAGAGTTGGGAGACAATATTGGTGGCCAAACTGCAAGTGAGGCCTGTCCCGTCCTCTTCCACGTTCAGGGACTTGACGACCCCATCATCCACCACCATGGAAAACCTGTAGAGCAGGGAGGAGACAGAGGGGACAGAAGAGGGTCAGATGAGAGAGAGATCGAGACAAATCGGTTTCTGCAGCAAGAAAAAAATCTAATCTGATGTGCAATCAAAGGCTTTCATGGCCAGAACCACGGAGTTGCTGTGCGTTTTCCTGGCTGCTTCTTGCCTGGATGATGGGGTCGTCAAGTCCCTGCTCTAGCCATGGCATTCAAGCGCTATCAACGAGATCGGAGGCAGGGGAGCCTCTGCAGATAAGCGGCTATGCAAAGAGGCTTATCTAATCTGGAACCCTGATTGTGCAAGGCGTTGGGAAAGAGCTTTCACAACAGCAGAGGCCATGGAGCCCCTTTGCAAGGAGGGAAGGAGACCTACAGCTTTTCATGCTTTAAGACAAAATCATACTAGGGAAGGGTGTTGGGAGGAGGTGGGAGAAAAAATAAAAAATGTAATATGAATGAATCTGTAAAGAATGTGAATCGATAATACAGAAATATGTTATTCGAATGCGGCGGTTCTCAACCTGGGGGTCGCGACCCCCGGGGGGGTTGCTGGGCCATTTTCTGGGGGTCACGAAGATGCCTCTGCCTCCCCAAAATGGCTGCTGGCCCCTGTGCCAGGGAAACAGCCAGGCTTTCCAGGTCAGCTCCAGCTTGCGCAAGGCCTCCTTTGTGCTCCCGCCGGCCGGCAAGGGCACAAGGCTGGCGAGAGCCCTTTGCGCAAGGTCTTGCGGCAGGGTCGCATGGGAAGGCGAGGACCTCTTCACGCAAGACCTTGCCTTGCACGAAGCTTCCCTCGCCACCCTCCGCTCCCGCCGAGTGGCAGGGGCACGTGGGAAGGCGAGGGCCTCTTCGCGCAAGGATTGCCTTGCATGAAGCTTCGCTCGCTGCCCTCACGCTCCCGCCGAGCAGCAGGGGTGCATGGGATGGCGAGGGCCTCTTTGCGCAAGGTCTTGCCTTGCACGAAGCTTCCCTCACCACCCTCGCAGTCCGCCGAGTGGCAGGGGCATAGGGGATGGCAAGGGCCTCTTTGTGGAAGGCCTTGCCTTGCACGAAGCTTCCCTCGCCGCCCTTGCGCTCCCGCTGAGCGGCAGGGTTGTGTGGAATGGCGAGGGCCTCTTCGCGCAAGGATTGCCTTGCACGAAGCTTCCCTCACCGCCCTCGCGCTCCTGCTGAGCGGCAGGGTTGTGTGGGATGGCGAGGGCCTCTTCGCGCAAGGATTGCCTTGCACGAAGCTTCCCTCACCGCCCTTGCGCTCCTGCTGAGTGGCAGGGTCGTGTGGGATGGCGAGGGCCTCTTCTCGCAAGGCCTTGCCTTGCACGAAGCATCCCTCGCCGCCCTCACCGAGCGGCAGGGGCGCGGGGGAAGGCGAGGACCCCTTTGCGCCATCCGGCAGGGATGCGAACCAGGCAAGAGGCTCCACGTAAGGCCAGGCCGCGTGGGGGATCCTTCCATGCCCGGCTTTAACTGCCAGAAGCACGAGCCTCCCTGCCGGATCTGGGCCCAGACTCCAAAATGCACCAAGCAATGTCAAGGTATGTATATTTTCCCCAAACTTCTCCAGTGTTTTATGTTGGTAATGGGAGTTCTGTATGCCAGGTTTGGATCAATTCCATGATTGTCAGAGTTCAGAATGTTTTTTGATGGCAGGTGAACTATACATCCAAGCATCTGCAACTCCCAAATGTCAGGGTCTATTTCCCCCAAACTCCACCAGTGTTCAAATTTGGGCATATTGAGTATTTGTGCCACGTTTGGTCCAGATCCATAGTTGTTTGGGTTCACAATGCTCTCCAGATGTAGGTGAACTACGTCTCCCCTAAATCACTGTCAATTCCTCCCAAACCCCTCCAGTATTTTTTGTTTGACATGGGAGTTCTGTGCAGAGGTCTCAGTGGTCTGAATCAGTTAAAGGTACTGCAAATCCCATCATTTGTTTTCCATACTCCCCCAAACATATTTTATCTGATTAATTACAATGCTTTAATTATGTTGAATTTGTAACAATGAAAGCACATCCTGCCTATCAGATATTTACATTACGATTCGTAGGAGTAGCAAAATTAGAGTTATAAAGGAGCAACAAAAATAATTTTATGGTTGGGGGTCACCACAACATGAGGAAGCATATTTAGGGGTCCCGGTGTTAGAAAGGTTGAGAACCACTGTTCTAATGTATGCTTACAATAGACAAATATTATCTGTTCAAATATGCTATTTTCTTTTCAATTAAAAAATTTAAAAAACTTTCAAAAACAGGATTAGATACTCCTTCTAGGGCTGGGCAACCACGGAAAAATTTGTTTCTAAAATCGATTCATTTTTTGGGGGTTTTTGCATTTCGATTTTTAAAAGAATTCCGAAATTTTTCTTTTAAAAAGTTTGATATTTACGAAATTTTGTAAATTACAAAACAATACGAAACAATTACTCATTGATTCATTAATGGCGGACGCGACCGCGCAATACGCTAAAAAACCTCCAAATGGGACAGGGGGAACTTCTGAAGCTTCCCTCTCCCTCTGTTGTTGACTGTTGGTGTGATATTTATAAGTTTTTTCACTGATTAAACAAACAACTATAAAACTTGCCCCAGACATGCGGAAATAATAACGAAACGATTTCAAAACGATAACGAAACGAAGTCGAAACTATTACGAAACGAATGTAAAAATTCGTTTCGTTTTTTAGTTGCTCCTGAATGGTTCGTTATCGCTTCGTTATAAAAAAAACAAAACGAATTTTTAACGAATTACGAAATTACGAAACGAAACCGCCCAGCCCTAACTCCTTCTTGACAGAAGGAAGTCTTAACCCTCCCACATTACCGTTTGGATCGGTTAGTTCCAAAGAGCTCTCGAAGCGGTTCCTTATCCAGCAAGAGGTTTGTGGCCTGTGGGATAAAACAAATGGGGAAAGGGCAGAAGAAAAGAAAAGAATGACTCGCTAAGAACAAAATAAATAGAAAGGACAAAAAAATACAGAAAAAGATCAGATAGTCCATTCTGCCAGTTAAATATAAACAATAATAGGGCTAAGTAAGAAATGACTGTATGTTCCTGTTGTGTCATCTTCTGGAACGTCATCATTATACTGTATCAACAATATTATTGCTTTATTTTATAGAGTAAAATAATAAATGCAATAATAACAACAACAACAATAATAACAGAGTAAAATAATGGAAATGTAATAACAGTAATCTATTATATTATATTATATTATATTATATTATATAATATTATATTATATTATATTACAGTGGCGCAGTGGGTTAAAGCACTGAGCTGCTGAGCTTGTTGATCGAAAGGTCGCAGGTTCGATTCTGGGGAGCGGCGTGAGCTTCTGCTGTCAGCCCTAGCTTCTGCCAACCTAGCAGTTCGAAAACATGCAAATGTGAGTAGATCAATAGGTACCGCTCCGGCGGGAAGGTAAGGGCGCTCCATGCAGTCATGCCAGCCACATGACCTTGGAGGTGTGTACGGACAACGCTGGCTCTTTGGCTTAGAAATGGAGATGAGCACCACACCCCAGAGTCAGACATGACTGGACTTAATGTCAGGCGACTACCTTTACCTTATATAAATAAAAATGTAATGTTCGTTTGTGATATTCACAGAACTCAAAAACCACTGGAGGAATTGACACCAAACTTGGACACGATACACCTAACAACCCAATTTATGTCCTCCACTAAAAAAAAAAACCCCAAAGAAACAGCAGAAACCCCAAAAATCCACACAAGGGAAGAGTGGCCGTTACAGCATCGAGAGCCAAGAGCGTGTGCACGCACGGCCATACAAACAGAACTGGCACAGTGAGTGGCACCGAGCTCCCTCCCTCGCCGCAGCAGGGAGCTTCCTCCCTCACGGAAACATGACCCCTTCCTCTTCACCTTCCTCCTTGCCTGCTGTGGCGACGGAGGAAAGGGAGAAAGGAAGAAGGGAGGAAAGAAAGGAGGAAGCTTGGGAAAGAGGGGAGAGAGCGCCTTGCACAGCCTGGGGCAGTGATGGACAACCTTTTGAGCGTGGTGTGTCAAAATTTGCCAAAAAAACTGAGCATAACTCAGGTGGTGTGTCACTTCAAGAAAAAACCATAATTTCGCAATATTTAGTTTAAATGACAAAAATATATAATTGTAATTCCCACTTTCTCTCTTATCATGTTGTTCTCCCTCTCTTTATGTAAATAATATCCTTTTTGGAGTGTTTAATAAAAATCTAATTTTAAAAACCCAACAAAATATTATTTATTTTTAATTTAATTTAAATGTATTTCTAGCATTTAATGTATTTTTAATAATAATAATAATGCAATAACAATAAAGTAACATTGCAAAATAATATTTTGATATTTAATTTACCATTTCATTTAAGGCATATATATATATACACAGACCAGTTAGATATGATCTCACTAACATTCCTAGCGAATACACAGTGGAAGTGAAGAACAGATTTGAAGGACTAGATTTAGTAAACAGAGTCCCAGAGGAATTATGGACAGAAGTCCGCGACATTGTTCAGGAGGCGGCAACAAAGTACGTCCCAAAGAAAAAGAAAACCAAGAAGCAAAATGGTTGTCTGCTGAGACACTGGAAGTAGCCCAAGAAAGGAGGAAAGCAAAAGGAAACAGGGATAAGGGGAGATATGCCCAGTTAAATGCGCAATTCCAGAGGTTAGCCAGAAGAGATAAGGAACTATTTTTAAATAAGCAATGCATGGAAGTGGAAGAAGACGACAGAATAGGAAGGACAAGAGACCTCTTCCAGAAAATTAGAAACATTGGAGGTAAATTTCAGGCAAAAATGGGCATGGTCAAAAACAAAGATGGCAGGGACCTAACAGAAGCTGAAGAGATCAAGAGAAGATATAGAAGATCTGTATAGGGAGGGTAATAATATTGAGGATAGTTTTGACGGTGTGGTGAGTGAATTAGAACCAGACATCCTGAGGAGTGAGGTTGAATGGGCCTTAAGAAGCATTGCTAACAACAAGGCAGCAGGAGACGACGGGATCCCAGCTGAACTGTTTAAAATCTTAAAAGATGATGCTGTCAAGGTGATGCATGCCATTTGCCAGCAAATATGGACAACACAAGAATGGCCATCAGACTGGAAAAAATCAACTTATATCCCCATACCAAAAAAGGGAAATGCGAAAGACTGCTCAAACTTCCGTACAGTGGCCCTTATTTCTCATGCCAGTAAGGTAATGCTCAAGATCCTGCAAGGAAGACTCCAGCAATACATGGAGAGAGAGTTGCCAGATGTTCAAGCTGGGTTTAGAAAAGGCAGAGGAACGAGAGACCAGATTGCCAATATCCGCTGGATAATGGAGAAAGGCAGGGAGTTTCAGAAAAACATCTACTTCTGCTTCATTGACTCTTCTAAAGCCTTTGACTGTGTGGATCATAATAAATTGTGGCAAGTTCTTGGTGGGATGGGCATCCCAAGCCCCCTTCCCTCTCTCCTGAGGAATCTGTACAAGGACCAAGTAGCAACAGTCAGAACTGACCACGGAACAACAGACTGGTTCAAGATTGGGAAAGGCGTACGGCAAGGCTGCATCCTCTCACCCAACCTTTTTAACTTGTATGCAGAACACATCATGCGATGTGCGGGGCTTGATGAATGCAAAGCTGGGGTGAAAATTGCTGGAAGAAACATTAACAACCTCAGATATGCAGATGACGCCACTCTGATGGCCGAAAGCGAGGAGGAGCTGAGGAGCCTTCTAATCAAGGTGAAAGAAGAAAGCGCAAAAGCCGGGTTGCAGCTAAACGTCAAAAAAAACCAAGATTATGGCAACAAGAATGATTGACAACTGGGAAATAGAGGGAGAAAAGGTGGAGGCCGTGACAGACTTTGTATTTCTAGGTGCAAAGATGACTGCAGATGCAGACTGTGGCCAGGAAATCAGAAGACGCTTCCTTCTTGGGAGGAGAGCAATGTCCAGTCTCGATAAAATAGTGAAGAGTAGAGACATCACACTGGCAACAAAGATCCGCCTAGTCAAAGCCATGGTATTCCCTGTAGTCACCTACGGATGTGAGAGCTGGACCTTAGGGAAGGCTGAGCGAAGGAAGATCGATGCTTTTGAACTGTGGTGTTGGAGGAAAATTCTGAGAGTGCCTTGGACCGCGGGGAGATCCAACCAGTCCATACTTCAGGAAATAAAGCCCGACTGCTCATTGGAGGGAAGGATACTAGAGACAAAGATGAAGTACTTTGGCCACATCATGAGGAGACAGCAAAGCCTAGAGAAGACAATGATGCTGGGGAAAGTGGAAGGCAAAAGGAAGAGGGGCCGACCAAGGGCAAGATGGATGGATGGCATCCTTGAAGTGACTGGACTACCTTGAAGGAGCTGGGGGTGGTGACGGTTGACAGGGAGCTCTGGCGTGGGCTGGTCCAGGAGGTCACGAAGAGTCGGAGACGACTGAACGAATGAACAACATATATTAAGGCATATATTAAAATATTTAAAATGCATTAAATTAAAATGCATTAAATTAAATGTCAAATTAAAATTCAATTTACCATTTCATTTAAGGCATTCTGAAATATTTGAGTAATATAGCAAAGTATTATTTATCATTTAATTTAATTTAAATATGTAACTCCTTAATATTTAGGAAACAATGCAAAATAATATTCGTTTACTTAATAATTAAATAAACCAATATTATTTTGCAATGTTACCTAAATGTTAATAATAATTAAATATTTTTAAATTTGACATTTAATTTAATGCATTTTAATATTTGAATAATATAGCAAAGTAATAGTATTTATCATTCAGTTTAAATATGAAACTCCTTAATATTTAGGTAACATTGCAAAATAATAATTTCTTTCCTATTTATTTTTTAAAATGGCATAAAATAAATAAACAAATAATATCTCAGCGGGCGCGTGTCAGTAGAAATGGCTACGTGTGTCATAGGTTCGCCATCACGGGCCTGGGGGATAGAGAGAGAGGTGGGGGGCAACCTCCTATCTCCCCTCCTCTTGGCTCTTCCCGTTGCCTTTGCAAAGGTGGGCACTTCCAAGGCTTCCAGCCCCCACCAAGCTTCTGAGGCAGGAGAGAGACTGAAGGGGGACCCACATAGAGGAAGAAGAGGAGCAGGAGGAGGAGGAGGCAGAAGCACAGGCAGCAGTAGCAGCGGACCCCAGGCTCAGAGCCCAACACAGCCATTTCCATTGCAACTTGGTGGGGATGGTGAAGCCAAGCAAAGCAGGGGGGAGCCAGGAGCTGGGGGGGGGGGGCAGAGCCCGACCAATGAGGGGGGTCTGCCCCTGTCAGGGAGGGAGGACAGTTGGGAAGGTAGCGTAGGATATCTATAGTCCCACAATTTGTTCACGAAACAAAACACACAATAGCATATCCACACTGTGTGTGTGTGTATAGGTTAAAGCTAAAGGTTTCCCCCTGACATTAAATCCAGTCATGTCCAACTCTGGGACTCTGGTGCTCATCTCCATTTTTTAGCTGAAGAGCCGGCGTTGTCCATAGACACCTCCAAAGCCATGTGGCCACTGGCATGACTGCATGGAGCGCCTTTACCTTCCTGCCAGAGTGGTACCTATTAGGCTTGGGTAACAACGGAAAAATTTGGTTCTAAACTCGTTTCGTTTGTAGGGGGCGATGGTGTTTCGTTTTTTTTTTTTTTGGACTTCCGAAATTGTTCTTTTCAAAATTTGGAAATTTACGAAATTTTGTAAATTTCGAATTGATTCGTTAATGGCGGACGCGATTGCGCAATATGCTAAAAAACCTCCAAATGGGACAGGGGGAACTTCTGAAGCTTCCCTCTCCTTCTGTTGTTGACTTGGTGTGATAAAACAAAAAACTATATTATATTATATTATTATAATATTATAATATTACATTATATTATTGTATATTATATTATTATATATTATATTATATTATTATAATATTATTATATTATATATTACTATAATATTATTATATTATATTATTATAATATATTTTATTATATATTATATATTATTATATTATATTATGAAAATAATTACGAAATAATTACGAAAATTGGAAAAATTGTTTCGATTCTTAATTACTCCTCACACTATTCCTGCATGGCTCAATATTGGATCGTAAGCTAATTTAAATACGAATTAATAACGAATTACGAAATTAACGAACGAAACCGCCCAAGCCTAGTACCTATTGCTCTATTCACATTTGCATGTTTTTGAACTGCTGTATTAATTGAAAATCATTCTATCTATCTATCTTTTACAACTTGGCAACATACACATGTTGGCAGAGCAACAGTGAGTACATATGGGTGTGTGGAGTTGTGAAAATGTAGTGGAATTAATGCACATGCAAGATCATCCCCACAATAACCCCTCCAGACGTGCACTCCAGCAGAGCCACTTATTTCCCGCGTGACTGTGTGTATCTGAGGGGAAAGTTGAGGAAATAGAGTAAAATTAACATCCATGTAGGCATTCTCCACAACTTCCTTTCAACATAGACATTACCATATTATCCACATCCATATGTGTATTCGTGTGTGTGTGTGCACGCACTACATCTCCCGCCAAAGGAAGAAGGAGACAAAGAGCGAGGGAAGGTTGGCCACAGCAACACGTGGCGGGTACAGCTAGTAGAATGCAATAACAACAATAATAGAGTAAAATAATGGAAATGAAATAATAACAGTAACAATAGAATAATTAATAATACTAATAATAATAATAGAGTAAAATAATAAATAACCTTGACTCGAATATAAGTTGAGGGGGACATTTTCAGCCTTAAAAAAGGGCTGAAAAACTAGGCTTATACTCGAGTATATACAATATATAGTTAATATGATTATTTCATAATTCAAAACATCCATCTGGCTCCACTGACCACCAGTATCCAGCTTGCAGCAGATTTCCTGCCCATGCAATGATGGGCAGGAAAACAATTCTCATCACTACTAATAATAGATGTTCTGGGTGGTCAATGAAGATAGAAAGCTCATTGTCCTATCCCATGATTCAAGATTTCCGTACCTTCCCAAATGCTCCTGTCGGATCAGCCAGCATCCGCACCTGTGGAGAGAAGAAAACCTGGATTGATACCGAAAAAGTGCTTTCCAACATTGGATTGACAAGCAAGATGCAAAGATATGTCCCCTTAAGATGGCTTGTCAACAACCCTATGATTATTTTTTTTTTTTGAAATCACACTATATAGTGTGTTGTTGAAGGCTTTCATGGCTTGAATCACTGGGTTGCTTTAAGTTTTCTGGGCTGCATGGCCATGTTGCAGAAGCATTCTCTCCTGATGCTTCACCCACATCTATGGCAGGCATCCTCAGAGGTGTGAGGTCTGTTGGAAACTAGAAAAATTGGGTTCATATATCTGTGGAATAATGTCCAGGGTGGGAGAAAGAATTCTTGTCTCTTGTCTGCCTCTATATTTGACCTACTTGGGAACTGCGATTCCCCTTCCTTGGGCACCTGTGCCCCATTCTATGTTGTGCTGGTCAAAGACCATAATAAATCATTGATTGATTGATTGATGCTCACTGCACATATCTTATTTGTAGTGCAATAAAACTTAGAAACAGTACAATAATAAAAATGAAGAACAATTTTAACAAATATAAACTTACTAGTATTTCATTGGGAGGCGTGGGTCTGCTTTTAGCTGATGAGATAGGATTGTTGTTGTTGTTGTTGTGTGCTTTTAAGTCATTTCAGACTTACAATGACCCTGAGCGAGGGCCGGGTAAATGACCTTGGAGGGCTGTATCCGGCCCCTGAGCCTTAGTTTTGAAATCATGGAGGAATTTAAAAGGGTCTGGCGCTGAAGGAGAAACCCTGCGGACCCACCAAAAAGGGCTCGCTACAATGGTGAGCAAAGAGAAGCCCAATTTAAAAGGTTTTTCCTAAGTTCCCAAAAGAAATCTCACCAAAGTTGAAGGAAGCGCCACCGAGATGGTTTTGTTGCGATTCAGCTGGAAAGGATGCAAAGCAGCAATATTTTGCCAAGCTAAGCATAACATGTACACAAATAAAGGCCTTTTTAATACAGAAACAGGGTTGCCAGGATTGAATCTCCCATTCCCCGCCCCTCTGCTGGCTCGACGATGATTGGCTGGTGCTCTACAGCTGGAAGGAGGCTTGTCCACCTCCTGAGCGCCTGGACCAATCGCTGGGCTTCTGTCGCCTCGGCGTCCTGACGAATCACGAAAGAAGGAGGCGGGACGAGAGGGAAACAATGGATTCTTGAGAGGATTATGGAAGTAGGAAATGTCCATGTGGCCAGCGAGTCCTGGGGTCTGCGAGCTAGCCATTCCTATCGTCATTGAGTGGCTGCAATAAGCATCCAAGATCCGGATTTTTCCAGTTCGGAGATATGGGAACAATGGGGAACTTTGGCTGAAATGTATTGTCGAAGGCTTTCATGGCCGGAATCACTGAGTGCTTGTGGGTCTTTTCGGTCTCACCCTGGTCATTCCACAGATATATAACCCTTTTCCCAGTTACCAAACAGACCTCACCTCTCAGGATGCTTGCCATAGATGCAGGCGAAACGTCAGGAGAAATGCCTCTAGAACATGGCCATATAGCCCGAAAAGACCAACAAGAACTTTGGCTGAAATCTTTAGTGAAAGAAAAGTTGAATGGGTGACAGATTAGGATGAGGTGCGGCTTTCCGAAGGCCCCCTCCATCCTATTGAGATATGATCATAATTGCCAAATGACCGCTTCCTCTGGGGGACCAACTCCGAGCCCAGAGGTCACGATCCCTTTCTATTGTCCATGCAATTGTGTCTTTGATAAGGGTCTTTTCAACTGGAGATTTCCTCCTTTCCAGGGTCACGCAGGGGTGGCTGCCTTGTATTTATATACATTTTTCAATAAAGGGGAATTGGGCAAAAGGGTCAAGAAAAGGTCAGATACACAGGGAGGAATATAGAAATATAGAAATCATGATATAGAAAACATACCCACTTATCCCTCCCACCAGAGTCCCATAGAAGTTCAAGAGAGCGCATAAGTGTAAAGGGAGGTGGTTTCTCAGTAATAAACATGCTACCTTCTATATATGAAAGACAGGGCATAAAACCTTGATGAAATGTACACACTATCTAATATGGGAAGGGTCCTTGTTGTTGTTAGTGTCTTGGCAAATTGACCAAGGCTTAACCCTTATTATCCAGTCTGGTGTCCTTGTCCTTAGCAAAACTATAAGTTACTATCTTTTATGGGGGGGGGGGGTCATGTTTGACTTCATTTTGAAGACCCCTGCTTTAATATGTGATGTATATAGATGCATATAACTATATTGTGCTTTGTCTCGAGCCAAAAGGAGAGGTCCGTAATAAATAAAAAAATATTATTAGTAAACTTAGGGGTTTTTTTGTTTGATTTCTTTTGAAGAATTTTTTTAGAATTTTTTTAGATCCTAGTTTTCTCCCTGTAATGGTGTTGCTTGCACAAGTCCAAACCTGATTCTTCAGTTACTCACCTTTCCCTCGGCTTGGTGCGCGTTCCCCCACTCCTTCATGACGAAAACATCATTGACAGAAAGGCAGGCGATGATTTCCACCCCTTTGCCTTTGAGCTGCCCTGCTTTCTCCACGTAACCTGGTAGGTGAGTCTGCAGGGAATAAAGGAAGGAATTGAGACTCTCGGGATATAGTCTAATAAAATCATAGAGTTGGAAGAGACCTCATGGGCCATTCTGCCAAGAAGCAGGAATATTGCATTCAATATTGCACCCCCGACAGATGGCCATCCAGCCTGTGTTTAAAAGCTTCCAAAGAAGGAGGCTCCACCACACTCCGGGGCAGAGAGTTCCACTGCTGAACGGCTCTCACAGTCAGGAAGTTCTTCCTCATGTTCAGATGGAATCTCCTTTCTTGTAATTTGAAGCCATTGCTCCGTTGCGTCCTAGTCTCCAGGACACCAGTAAACAAGCTTGCTCCCTCCTCCCTGTGGCTTCCTCTCACATATTTATACATGGCTATCATATCTCCTCTCAGCCTTCTCTTCTTCGGGCTAAACATGCTCAGCTCTTTAAGCCGCTCCTCATAGGGCTTGTTCTCCAGACCCTTGATCATTTGAGTTGCCCTCCTCTGGACACATTCCAGCTTCAAAGTGAGAGGAAGAGGCCATATAGGTTGAGCAAAGTGTTTGGGATTTTTTTTAACAGATTTTGAAATGCAGACCCATACATGTTGAGGAATCTCAGAAATGGGACAAGACTAAACACGAACTCACATCTCAGCCTGATGTTAGTTTTGTACATTTGAATCATGTTGTACCCTGCCTCAAGGCACAAGGAGAGGCGAGTAATACATTATTAATATTATTATTTTACTAGCCGTCCCCTGCCATGCGTTGCTGTGGCCCACATGGGGATTCTGTGTGGGAGAACGCACTATGAAGCCAAACAATGGTGGATCTGGGCCAAACTTGGCATGCATACCCAATGTGCCCAAATTTGAATACTGGTGAGTCTTGAGGGGAATTGACCTGGACATTTTGGAGTTGTAGGTACTGGGATTTATAGTTCACCTGCAATCAATGAGTCCTCTGAACGCCACCAAAGATGGCATTGGACTGATCTTGGCACACAGAGCCCCCATGACCAGAAAAAAAAAATACTGAAGGTATTTGGGGGAAATCACCTTGATTTGGGGGAGTTATAGTTCACTTATATTCAGAAAGCATTGTGAAGACAAACTTAGATGGATCTGGACCAAACTTGGTACACATACATGATATGCCGAAATTTGATTACTGGAGAGGTTTGTGGGGAACTGAACTTCCTTTCTGGGAGTTGTAGTTCACTCACAACCAGAAGAAACTGTGACCTACACCGATGTGACCTACACCGAAGAAACTGTGACTTACACCATAGTGGGAGTTGTAGTTTATCTTGCAGTCAGAGAGCACACTGAACCCGACCAACAATGCACCCAGAGCAAAGTTGCCCAGCATAAAAACTTTAAGTACTGATGGAGTTTCTTGGGATTAACCTGACATGATGTGAGTTGTAGTTCACCCACAACAGTGGTTCTCAATGTTCCTAATGCCACGACCCCTTAATGCAGTTCCTCATGTTGTGGTGACCCCCAACCATAACATTAGTTTCATTGCTACTTCAAAATTGTAATTTTGCTACTGTTATGAATCGTTATGTAAATATCTGATATGCAGAATGGATTCTTATTTGAATATTATGGGAGGATTGATTTTGTCGTTTGGAAGTTATAGTTGCTGGGATTTATAGTTCACCTACATTCAAAGAGCATTCTGAACTCTACCAACAATGGAATTGAACCAAACTTGGCACACAGAAGTCCCAGGACCAACGGAAAATACTGGAAGGGTTTGATGGGAGTTGTAGTTTGCCTACACCCAGAGAGCACTGTGGATTCAAACAATGATGGATCTGGATCAAACTTGGCACGAATATTCAATATGCCCAATGTGAACACTGGTGAAGTTCGAGGAAAATAGACCTTGACATTTGGGAGTTGTAGTTGCTGGGATTTATAGTTCACCTACAACCAAAGAGCATTCAGAAGCCCACCAACGATAGAATTAGGCCAGAAACAGAGAATGACCAACAGAAAATACTGTCTGTGATGGTCTTTGGCGACCCCTCTGACACCCCCTCGCGACCCCTCCAGGGGTCCCGACCCCCAGGTTGAGAACCACTGACCCACAACCTTATGCATTCTGTACAATTACAAAATGGACTTTTTCAAATAACCCAGGCAATGCCGGGTAACCAAGCTAGAATAATAATAATAATAATAATTATTATTATTATTATTATTATTATTATTATTATTATTATTATTATTATTATTTAAAAAATCAGAAAGCAAAGAAAGCTCTACAAACCAATTCAGATTTTTGAGTGTTCTGGAATTCCAAATGAGGGATGCTCAACCTCTATCAGCAAATGCGTTTTTCCAGACATTTGGGATTTGAGCTCCTAGCAGACCTTGTCAGCATGGTAAGGAATTATGGAAATTATAGCCTCAAAACATATCATGATTCAAAGGTTATCTAACTCCCTCGTTCTTGAGTTAACACAACTTCCTGACCGCACTGCATTGCACCACGAGTTCCAGCATATGTCTTTCTTTGAAATAACTGCCATTCTGACCTCCTTGCCAAACTTTGTGGAGATACAGTACATGTTACTAAAGGCAGCAGAAACTAGATATCCCTATTTACTTGAACCCAGTGCTCACCTTCCTAAGGTTAAATGACCTTGCCAAAATTAGGGTGTGCATGAGATTCGCATGATACGGTAACAGTGTTAAGCCAAAGGAAAAGGAGACACTGCTTCAGGAGCCCCTGGAGCTCCTCTTTGAGGGACATCACCTCTAATTTAACAGTTACGTAATCCTGGGATTTGTAGTTTGCTGAGGCATCAGCCTTCTTTAGTAGAGAAGGCTCAAGACCTTGTAAAACTACATCTCCCCCATCATTCCACAGCATCAAATAAGAGCAATTTTTAAATAAAAATAATCTTTTATTTGTTTTAAAAAGAAACGTACATGATTATGATAAAATATCAAAGAGCTTATGATAGAAATGGATATATAGAAATACTAGCCACCCCCTGCCACGCGTGGTCCAGTCTCTGTACATGTGTTTTGAGTGTATATATATATATGTGTATATTTGTGTTTATGTGTGTTTGCGTAATATATATGTGGTTTTGCGCATCCGTTGTAATGTAATTTTTGTTTTTTGGCTTTTAAAGTCTCTTCTGCTGTGTTTTTCAGTGTTTTTTTCAGTGATGGTCACTCGTTGGCCTGATAGGTGTATTGTGTCCAAATTTGGTGTCAATTCCTCCAGTGGTTTTTGAGTTATGTTAATCCCACAAACGAACATTACATTTTTATTTATACAGATACAGATAAATTAAGAATAAAAAATGTAAAGTAAGAAGAGGGGATTGGGGACCCTCAAAAATGAGGGAGGGGGGAGGTGACGGAGGGTGTCAAAATGGGGGGCTGAAAAAGAAGTTAAAAAGTGATGAATAGACAGGAAAGATATAGATAGAATTAAAACCAGATAAGACTGTCAAAAGGGTCCCGGCCCAAATTACCCACATTACCTGTCCAAACGCATCTCCCCCTATGAACCATCGCGGAGATTAAGATCCCCCAGGGAGGCCCTGCTTTCTGTCCCGCCATTGTCACAGCCGCGATTGGTGGGGACGAGAGACAGGGCCTTCTCGGTGATTGCTCCCTGGCTATGGAACTCCCTTCCTGGTGAGATCAGGTCAGCCCCCTCCCTCCTGTCCTTTAGAAGGAGAGTGAAAACTTGGCTGTGGGACCAAGCTTTCGGGACAGGGCAATAAAGCAGCAATAGGAAAGGTGACCAGGCCAATTAGATTTGACGCGGAAGACTACGACCATTTTAAATGGTGTATTTTAATATTTTGATAAATGTTTTTTAATGTTTACGTATTATATGTGAATTTGTGTCCCGGCATTGAATGTTTGCAGTGTATATGCTGTGCTCCACCCTGAGTCCCCTTCGGGGTGAGAAGGGCGGAATAGAAATGTTTTAAATAAATAAAAAATAAATAAAAGTAGAATTCAAGAGAGATATTGACAAGCTGGAATGTGTCCAGAGGAGAGCGACTAAAATGATAAAAGGTCTGGAGAACAAGCCCTATGAGGAGCGGCTTAACGAGCTGGGCATGTTTAGCCTGAAGAAGAGAAGGCTGAGAGGGGATATGATAGCCATGTATAAATATGTGAGAGGAAGCCACAGGGAGGAGGGAGCAAGCTTGTTTTCTGCTTCCTTGGAGACTAGGACGTGAAACAATGGCTTCAAACTACAAGAGAGGAGATTCCATCTGAACATGAGGAAGAACTTCCTGACTGTGAGAGCCGTTCACCAGTGGAACTCTCTGCCCCGGAGTGTGGTGGAGGCTCCTTCTTTGGAAGCTTTTAAACAGAGGCTGGATGGCCATCTGTCGGGGATGCTTTGAATGCAATATTCCTGCTTCTTGGCAGAATGGGGTTGGACTGGATGGCCCATGAGGTCTCTTCCAACTCTAGGATTCTATGATTCTATGAATCCTTGACTTCCCAGTATCTTCTGTGAGGTTCTTCCCTTTCCTTTTATTTTTCTTCTCCCTCTTTTCGTTTTGCTTATCTCTGTCTCTTCTTTAAATAAATTTTCATTTTGCCTTTCTTTCATTAAATGGATATGTAAGAGCAGTTAAAGTGGGTGTATTCTACTGCATAGATCAGCGTTTCTCCATCTGGGGTCAGGACCCGGGGGGGGGGGGGGGATCATGAGGGGGTTGTCAGAGGGGTCACCAAAGAACATCAGAAAACACTGAATTTTCTGTTGGTCTTGGGGATTCTGTGTGGGAAATCTGGCCCAATTCTATCGTTGGTGGGGTTCAGAATGAGTAAACTATAAATCCCAGTAACTACAACTCCTAGATGACAAAATCAATCCCCACTCAATCCCACTGGTGGTCAAATTTGTACATATCGGGTATTTGTGCCAAATTTGGTCCCATGAATGAAAATACATGTATATCAGATATTTACATTAAGATTCATAACAGTAGCAAAATTACAGTTATGAAGTAGCAATAAAAACAATGTTATGGTTGGGGGTCACCACAACACGAGGAAAAGTATTAAGAGGTCATGGTAATATTTATTTATTTATTATATCATTTTTTACCCCGCCCATATCAGCCCAAAGGCGACTCAGGGTGGCGAACAATTGGCACACTTCGATGCCATGTATAAAATACATCCATCAATAAAAATAAAACATCAAATTACAATATATACTAGAAAGGTTGAGAAACACTGTGCTGGAGGCTTTACACTTTTGTTGTAAAGATGGAATTCAAAGCCTGTAGCAATTGTAATGGCCAAATGACAGTTGCTGCATTTGGCAGCGAGTAATTTTTTTTAAATTTTTGGTTTCAGGGTTTCGGGGTTCTGAAAACTGCATTAGATTCTCGTAAATATGGGTGTGTTCTTGCTCTGGACAATAACTTAGCACTCAAAACCAATTCTTACTACTTGTATGTGTGTGTATGTGTATCTATCTATCTTGTAAGCCGCTCTGAGTCCCCTTTGGGGTGAGAAGGGAGGCATATAAATGTCGCAAATAAATAAATAATTTTATGTCCCGTGACTGTGTTAGACATGGGATTCTGGGAAAGAAGGGATATATATTCAGCTTCCACAAGGAGCAATACACCGGGTCCTACTCACTTTTGAACACCCTGGAGTGAATGCACCAGGGACACCGAAGAGGATGCCCTTCTTTCCCTTGAAAAGGCTGGCAATGTTCACTTTGGCGCCAGGGTCGCCCTCATAGACCTCCACGCTGGGCAATTTGTCTCCAACCTGTCCAAACGAGAAGACAAAAGGTTCAGGGCTTATGCTGGGTTCATTTCAGCAACTTGGCAACAAGGGAAGGAAAGGACGTTTGTCCAAAAGAGAACAGTGAAAGGCTTCCTAGATATTCTTCTTTGCATTGCTCTATGATCTTACCTCAACAACAACAACAACACCTGTTGTTGTTGTGCGCATTCAGATGACCTAGAAACCACTCTAAACACCTTTCCAGAGGCATACGAGAAGCTCCACCACTCATTGAACATCAAGAAAATCAAAGTGTTCTTCCAGCAGTCACCAGCCAATCCCTCTTCAATGCCAAAAATACAGCTTAATGGTGTAACATTAGAAAATGCGGACCATTTCAGCTTCCTTGGCAGCCAACTCTCCACAAGTCAACCTTGACACTGAAATACAACACCACCTGAGCTCTGCGAGTGCAGCATTATTCTGAATGTAGCAGAGAGTGTTTGAGGACCGGGACATCTGTAGGGAGACCAAAGTGCTTGTTTATAAAGCTATTGTCCTCCAAATCCTGCTAAACACCTGCAAAACGTGGACTGTCTACAGACGGCACATGCAACTCCTGGAACAATTCCATCAGTGTTGCCTCTGGAAAATCCTGCAAATCTCTTGGGAAGACAAGCGGACAAATGTCAGTGTGCTGGAAGAAGCAAAGACCACCAGCACTGAAGTGATAGTCCTTCGCTATCAACTCCGCTGGACTGGTCACGTTGTCTGGATGCCCGACCACCATCTCCCAAAGCAGTTACTCTACTCCCGTGATGGTGAACCTATGACACGTGTGTCAGCACTGACACGCATGGATATTTTTGATTACACGCAGACGCATGCGGCCACATACAGAGAAATACACCTTAAGAGCCAATCTAATTCCATCCTTAAATTTGTAAAAGGCTCTACAAATTTAACATCTGCACGTTTGAGCATTGTTCACTCCACAGTGTAACCAAAATTTGGTTTCTTAACCCGCAAAACCCTAAAATACCTAGGTTACTAAGTTTTAAAATACTAAATAAAATGATACTATAGAAGTTTGAAGGAACACGATTCTCTAATTTGATTTTATTTATTTATTTCATATCAAAAGCATTGCATACATTAGTATAAAACTGATAAAAAAATAGAAGGACACAGAAAGACCCTCCCTGAATGGCTAATCTTTCCAAATCCAAAAACATTAGGTTCTTGTGGGTTTTTTCGGGCTATAGAGCCATGTTCTAGAGGCATTTCTCCTGACGTTTTGCCTGCATCTATGGCAAGCATCCTCAGAGGTAGTGAGGTCTGTTGGAATTAGGACAAAGGGTTTATATATCTGTGGAATGGCTGGGGTGGGGCAAAGAGCTCTTCCCTGCTGGAGCTAGGTGTGAATGTTTCAGCTGATCACCTTCATTAGCATTTGAAGGCTTGCCTGAGCCTGGGAAAATCTTTTGTTGGGAGGTGTTAATCTGTGTCTGGTTGTTTCCTCTCTGCTGTTTTGCTGTTGTAATTTTGGAGTTTTTTAATACTGGTAGCCAGATTTTGTTCATTTTCATGGTCTCTTCCTTTCTGTTGAAATTGTCCACATGCTTGTGGATTTCAATGGCTTCTCTGTGTAGTCTGACATGGCGGTTGTTGGAGTGGTCCAGCATTTCTGTGTTCTCAAATAATATGCTGTGTCCAGGCTGGTTCATCAGGTGCTCTGCTATGGCTGACTTCTCTGGTTGAAGTAGTCTGCAGTGCCGTTCATGTTCCTTGATGCGTGTCTGGGCGCTGCGTTTGGTGGTCCCTATGTAGACTTGTCCACAGCTGCATGGTACACGGTAGACATGCCTCTAGAACATGGCTCTATAGCCCGAAAAAACCCACAAGAACCTAGTGATTCCAGCCATGAAAGCCTTCGACAATCCAAAAACATTGTTTTTAAACATTTGAAACGTTTTAAATTGGAGGTGTGGGGTTTTTTCCCTCCACATATGGATGAATAATAATAATAATAATTAAAAAAACCCACAAGAACCTAGTGATTCCAGCCATGAAAGTCTTCGACAATAATAATAAACTTTATTTGTACCCCGTTATCATCTCCCCAAGGGACTCGTTGTGGCTTACATGAGGCCAAGCCCAAAGCACATCAATAAACAAAGGCAATAACAAATAGTCAATACAAAACAGTTAAAATAAACTCAAAAATAGAAAATACACAATAAGCAATAAACAATAACAATAACGTACAGCATTTCAAACCTATGGCTGGGCCAAATGTAATAATTAAATGTATTGTCGAAGGCTTTCATGGCTGGAATCACTAGGTTCTTGTGGGTTTTTTCGGGCTATAGGGCCATGGTCTAGAGGTATTCTCTCCTGACGTTTCGCCTGCATCTATGGCAAGCATCCTCAGAGGTAGTGAGGATGCTTGCCATAGATGCAGGCGAAACGTCAGGAGAAATGCCTCTAGAACATGGCCCTATAGCATGAAAAAACCCACAAGAACCTAGTAATAATTAAAATTTAAAATGCTGGGCATGAACATGATAGGATAAACTAGGATAGGGTTTCCAGAGAAAGATGAGGGTGCGCAAACAATCCTAAATCAATATTAAAGTGCATTTGAGGACCTATTGCTAAGAGTTTTCCTTATTCTGGGAAGGCACACTGGAACAACCATGTTTTCAGGCTCCTCCTAAAGACTGCCAGCGTTGAGGCATGTCTGATGTCCTTAGGGAGTGAATTCCAGAGTCGAGGGGCCACCACTGAGAAGGCCCTCTCCCTCGTTCCCATGAATTGTGCCTGCGAAGGAGGTGGGAGAATGAGCAGGGCCTCTCCAGATGATCGAAGAGATCGTGTGGGTTCGTACACAGAAATGCGGTCACACACCAAAGGTCTTTATGAAGACCATTTCTAACTATTGCACAGCTAAAGCTTGTGCGCCAGCTGCGCCCGTACCTTGGGAAGTCTGACTTTGTCACGGTAGTCCACGCTATGGTTACATCCCGTTTAGACTACTGCAACGCTCTGTACGTGGGGTTGCCTTTGAAGACGGCTCAGAAGCTCCAATTAGTCCAACGCTTGGCAGCCATGATTTTAACAGGAGCGGAGCACAGGAAGCATACAACCCCCCTGTTGCGCCAACTCCACTGGCTACCGGGCTCAATTCAAGGTGCTGGCGTTGGCCTATAAAGCCTTAAACGGTTCCGGCCCAAGCTACCTATCCGACCGCATCTCTGCCTATGAACCCACCAGGACTTTGAGATCTTCTGGGGAGGCCCTGCTCTCGATCCCGCCTGCTTCTCAAGCACGTCTGGCGGGGACGAGAGATAGGGCCTTCTCGGTGGTGTTCCACACTGGGCATGCATACTCAGCACCAGAGTAGCATAGTGCAAGGGCAGATGTCTTCACTGTATCTGGTTATGATCCCCAGGTTGTGCCAGATACTGGTCAAAGGACATTTAATAGAATGCCGCATCTGCAAACTTTGTGTTTTGTCTGTTTGTTTGTTTTGTTCTGTTAGAAATGTAATACAATTGTCTGGTTGCCCCTGACATGACAAAAAAATCAAAACAACCAAGGTTATGGCAACAAGAATGATTGACAACTATTATTTATTTATTTATTTGTTGTGCCAGAACAACCAGTCTAACAGAACAAAGCAAACAAACAGAAAAATACACAACTTGTGAGTTTGGTAGCTGGTTAAATGTCCTTTGACCAGTATCTGGCCACTTGGAGTGCTTCTGGTGTTGCTGCAAGAAGGTCCTCCATTGTGCATGTGGCAGGGCTCAGGTTGCATTGCAGCAGGTGGTCAGTGTTTGCTCCTCTCCACACTCGCATGTCGAGGATTCCACTTTGTAGCCCCATTTCTGAAGGTTGGCTCTGCATCTCGTGGTGCCAGAGCGCAGTCTGTTCAGCTCCTTCCAAGTCGCCCAGTCCTCTGTGTGCCCAGGGGGGAGTCTCTCATTTGGTATCAGCCATTGGTTGATTCTGGGTTTGAGCCTGCCACTTTTGGACTCTCGCTTGCTGAGGTGTTCCAGCGAGTGTCTCTGTAGATCTAAGAAAACTATGTCTTGATTTAAGTCGTTGACGTGCTGGCTGATACCCAAACGGGATGAGCTGGAGATGTCTCTGCCTTGGTCCTTTCACTATTGGCTGCAACTTCCCGGCGGATGTCAGGTGGTGCAATACCGGCTAAGCAGTGTAATTTCTCCAGTGGTGTAGGGTGCAGACACCCCGTGATAATGTGGCATGGCTTGCATGCTGGTCGCTCCATTTGTGCCTGTTCAAGTTCCGCAGCACTGTTGCTCACAGCTGACCTCCAGCTGGCGCTCTCAAGGGCCAGGCCTTCCCAGTTCTCAGTGTCTATGCCAGAGTTTTTAAGGCTGGCTTTGAGCCCATCTTTCAATCTCTTTTCATGTCCATCAAAATTCCATTTTCCATTCTTGAGTTTGGAGCAGAGCAACTGCTTTGGGAGACAGTGGTTGGGCATCTGGACAACGTGGCCGGTCCAGCGGAGTTGATGGCGGAGGACCATCAATTCAGTGCTGGTGGTCTGTGCTTCTTCCAGCACGCTGAGATTTGTCCGCTTGTCTTCTCAAGAGATTTGCAGAATTTTCCGGAGGCAGCGCTGATAGAATCGTTCCAGGAGTTGCATGTGACGTCTGTAGACAGTCCACGTTTTGCAGATGTATAGCAAGGTTGGGAGGACAATAGCTTCATTCTGTGCTTCATTCAGAAAAATGCTGCACTCGCAGAGCTCAGGTGGTGATGTATTTCGGTGTCAAAAGTTGACATCCGTAGACAGTCCATGTTTCGTAGGCATATAGCAGGGTTGGGTGGTCTTTGCTTCTTCCAGGACGCCGACATTTGTCTGTCTGTCTTCCCAAGAGATTTGCAGGATTTTCCGGAGGCAGCGCTGATGGAATAGTTCCAGGAGTTGCATGTGACGTCTGTAAACAGTCCTTGTCCTGCAGGCATATTTGGCTTGTTCTCCAGATCCCTCCTTTTTAGTCCACATTTTCGCATATCCAACGTTCTCCTCTTGGAGAAGAGACTACTGTGCATCAACATAAAGAAACTACAACGCACAATAGACATAATAAGCCTACACGTCTTCAATATGGTTTTCCAGCCCTTAAGAGGAATGCCTCACACACAGTCAATGCAACTCGAGAAGGGCCTGAGTGAGGCCTACGCCTGGAATGCCTCCTGAGGAGGCATTCCAGGCCTAGGCCTCACTCAGGCCCTTCTCGAGCCTTTGCCAACTCTAATGACGGCTCCAAGAGGGGCCAAACCGCGTTAACTCTCCGGTGTGGACCCGCCCCGAGGCGACTGACCTTGAGGGCGGCCATGGCTGCTGCTCCGGTCCCGAAGTGCCGGCCCTTCTGCGCTCCACGGATGCCGAGGAGTGGGGCCTGCACCAAAGAAGCCCTGCCCGCCCAAGCCAGCACCCCCGCCCCTCGCCACCCCGTTGCCATGGAAATCGCAGGAGTGACGGCTGCTGCCCTGGCAACCCCGGCCCGGCCTCCCGAGTCTCCCTCTCCCCTCCGGCGGGTAAGGAAGGGGCGGGGCCAACGCGAGGGGCGGGGCCTGGGGTGGCTCATCTGCATCTCATTTGCATGGAGTGCAACCACGTGAAAGTGAACACAATCTGGCTACTAGTATTAAAAATCAACCTCTAAAATCAGCATGGTAGATAAAGAACAACGCTCAGAAAAGCAGGAAGCCATCAGGGCCAGCTAACACCTCCCCTGAAAAGATTTCCCCCCCCCCAGGCAGGAAGCAGCCAGGCTCTGAAGCTGCAAGGCTATTCAATGCTAAGGCTTTGAAGCTGTAAGGCTATTCAATGCTAAGGCTTTGAAGCTGTAAGAGTATTTAATGCTAAGGATTCCTCCCCCCAGGCAGGAAGCACCCAAGCTTTGAAGCTGCAAAGCTATTCAATGCTAAGGCTTTGAAGCTGTAAGGCTATTCAATGCTAAGAATTTCCCCCCAGGCAGGAAGCACCCAAGCTTTGAAGCTGCAAGGCTATTCAATGCTAAGGCTTTGAAGCTGTAAGGCTATTCAATGCTAAGGATTTCCCCCCAGGCAGGAAGCAGCCAAGCTTTGAAGCTGCAAGGCTATTCAATGCTAAGGATTTTCCCCCAGGCAGGAAGCAGCCAAGCTTTGAAGCTGTAAAGCTATTCAATGCTAAGGATCCTACTATTCAGGAAGCAGCCAGGCTTTGATGCTGCAAAGCTATTCAATGCTAAGGCTTTAAAGCTGTAAGGGTATTTAATGCTAAGGATCCCCCCCAGGCAGGAAGCGGCCAGGCTTTGAAGCTGCAAGGCTATTCAATGCTAAGTATTTCCCAGGCAGGAAGCAGCCAGGTTTTGAAGCTGCAAGGGTATTTAATGCTAAGGATTCTCCCAGGCAGGAAGCAGCCAGGCTTTAAAGCTGCAAGGGTATTTAATGCTAAGGATTCTCCCAGGCAGGAAGCAGCCAGGCTTTAAAGCTGCAAGGCTATCCAATGCTAAGGATTCCCCCCAGGCAGGAAGCAGCCAGACTTTGAAGCTGCAAGGCTATTCAATGCTAAGGCTTTGAAGCTGTAAGGCTATTCAATGCTAAGGATCCCCCCATTCAGGAAGCAGCCGGGCTTTGATGCTGCAAGGCTATTCAATGCTAAGGCTTTGAAGCTGCAAGGCTATTCAACGCTAAGGATTCTACACACAGGAAGCAGCCAGGTTTTGAAGCTGCAAGCTGCAAGGGTATTCAATGCTAAGAATTCTCCCCAGGCAGGAAGCAGCCAGGCTTTGAAGCTGCAAGGCTATTTAATGCTAAGGATTCTCCCATTCAGGAAGCAGCCAGGCTTTGAAGCTGCAAAACAATTAAATGCTAAGGATTCAGAAGCAGCCAAGCTATTCAATGCTAAGGATTCCCCCAGGCAGGAAGCAGCCAGGCTTTGAAGCTGCAAGGCTATTCCATGCTAAGGATTCCCCCCAGGCAGGAAGCAGCCAGGCTATTCAATGCTAAAGATTCCCCCCCCAGGCAGGAAGTAGCCAGACTTTGAAGCTGCAAGGCTATTCAATGCTAAGGATTCCCGCAGGAAGGAAGCAGCCAGGTTTTGAAGCTGCAAGGCTATTCAATGCTAAAGATTCCCCCCCCAGGCAGGAAACAGCCAAGCTTTGAAGCTGCAAAACTATTCAATGCTAAGGATTCCCCCCAGGCAGGAAGCAGCCAGGCTATTCAATGCTAAGGATTCCCCCCCCCCAGGCAGCAGCCAGGCTTTGAAGCTGCAAGGGTATTTAATGCTAAGGATTCCCCCAGGCAGGAAGCAGCCAGGCTTTGAAGCTGCAAGGCTATTCAATGCTAAGGATTCCCCCAGGTAGGAAGCAGCCAGGTTTTGAAGCTGCAAGGCTATTCAATGCTAAGGATTCCCGCAGGAAGGAAGCAGCCAGGTTTTGAAGCTGCAAGGCTATTCAATGCTAAAGATTCCCCCCCCAGGCAGGAAACAGCCAAGCTTTGAAGCTGCAAAACTATTCAATGCTAAGGATTCCCCCCAGGCAGGAAGCAGCCAGGCTATTCAATGCTAAGGATTCCCCCCCCCCAGGCAGGAAGCAGCCATGTGAAGCTGCAAAGCAATTATGCTAAGGATTCAGAAGCAGCCAAGCTATTCAATGCTAAAGAACCCCCCCCAGGCAGGAAGCAGCCAGGCTTTGAAGCTGCAAAACTATTCCATGCTAAGGATTCCCCCCAGGCAGGAAGCAGCCAGGCTATTCAATGCTAAGGATTCCCCCCCCCCAGGCAGGAAGCAGCCAGGCTTTGAAGCTGCAAAACTATTCTATGCTAAGGATTCCCCCCAGGAGGAAGCAGCCAGGTTTTGAAGCTGCAAGGCTATTCCACCCCCCCCGGGCAGGAAGCAGCCAGGCTTTGAAGCTGCAAGGCTATTCAATGCTAAAGATTCCCCCAGGCAGGAAGTAGCCAGACTTTGAAGCTGCAAAGCTATTCAATGCTAAGGCTTTAAAGCTGTAAGGGTATTTAATGCTAAGGATCCCCCCCAGGCAGGAAGCGGCCAGGCTTTGAAGCTGCAAGGCTATTCAATGCTAAGTATTTCCCAGGCAGGAAGCAGCCAGGTTTTGAAGCTGCAAGGGTATTTAATGCTAAGGATTCTCTCAGGCAGGAAGCAGCCAGGTTTTGAAGCTGCAAGGGTATTTAATGCTAAGGATTCTCCCAGGCAGGAAGCAGCCAGGCTTTAAAGCTGCAAGGGTATTTAATGCTAAGGATTCTCCCAGGCAGGAAGCAGCCAGGTTTTAAAGCTATAAGGATATTTAATACTAAGGATTCTCCCAGGCAGGAAGCAGCCAGGCTTTGAAGCTGCAAGGGTATTTAATGCTAAGGATTCCCCCAGGCAGGAAGCAGCCAGGCTTTGAAGCTGCAAAGCTGTTCAATGCTAAGGCTTTAAAGCTGCAAGTGTATTTAATGCTAAGGATCCCCCTGGCAGGAAGCGGCCAGGCTTTGAAGCTGCAAGGCTATTCAATGCTAAGTATTTCCCAGGCAGGAAGCAGCCAGGTTTTGAAGCTGCAAGGGTATTTAATGCTAAGGATTCTCCCAGGCAGGAAGCAGCCAGGCTTTAAAGCTGCAAGGGTATTTAATGCTAAGGATTCTCCCAGGCAGGAAGCAGCCAGGTTTTGAAGTTGCAAGGATATATAAAGCTATAAGGAAGCAGCCAGGCTTTGAAGCTGCAAGGCTATTCAATGCTAATCAATATTCCCACTTGCCTCCAACAGACAAGAGTTCTTTCTCCCACCCTGGATATTATTCCATAAAACAAACAAACAAACAATAATAAATATGTTATTCATTGAAATATTTCGTTGATATTATATTTTATGTATAGAACATTGTATATTGCATTTTAATATTATATTTATTTAAATATTTTATTTCATTTAAATATTTAAATAGTGGGGATGTTGGTTTAAATGAAATATTATAACCCGGAACGGTGTCGCATTTAGACCTGATTCCCCGTACGTTCAATATTAGCGTTGCACTTACGCACCGGAAGTGTGTCGAAAGAAGCCGCCGGAAGTGAGAGGAAAAAGGGGGCGTTAGAGCGGTGGAGCGGCGACACGCATGCGCAGACGGTTTCCCGGCCCGGCCACCGGAGTTTTGTGCCAGGATGAAGCTTTTGACGCACAACATGCTGACTTCGCACGTGCGGGGCGTGAAGCCCGGGGGCGGCTTCCCTCTTCGCATCCAGGTGAGGGCGGGGCGTTCCCAGGCCACGCCCCCTTGATTACCATTGAATGGCCTTGCAGCTTCAAAGCCTGGCTTCTTCCTGCCTGAAGAAGACCTTTGTTGGGATGAGTTCACAGGAAGAAGCCAGGCTTTGAAGCTGTATTTGTCGTGTCAGGGGCAACCAGACCATTGTATTACATTTCTAACAGAACAAAACAGACAAAACACAAAGTTTGCAAGCTTGGTAGTTGGTTAAATGTCCTTTGACCAGTATCTGGTCACTTGGAGTGCCTCTGGTGTTGCCGCAAGAATGTCCTCCATTGTGCATGTGGCAGGGCTCAGGGTGCATTGCAGAAGGTGGTCAGTGGTTTGCTCTTCTCCACACTCGCATGTCGAGGATTCCACTTTGTAGCCCCATTTCTGAAGGTTGGCTCTGCATCTCGTGGTGCCAGAGCGCAGTCTGTTCAGCGCCTTTCAGGTCGCCCAGTCTTCTGTGTGCCCAGGAGGGAATGTCTCATTTGGTATCAGCCACTGATTGAGCTTCTGGGTTTGAGCCTGCCACCTTTGGACTCTCGCTTGCTTAGGTTTCCAGCGAGTGTCTCTGTAGATCTTAGAAAACTATTTCTAGATTTAAGTCGTTGACGTGCTGGCTGATACCCAAACAGGGGATGAGCTGGAGATGTCTCTGCCTTGGTCCTTTCACTATTGGCTGCTACTTCCCGGCGGATGTCAGGTGGTGCAATACCGGCTAAGCAGTGTAATTTCTCCAGTGGTGTAGGGCGCAGACGTCCCATAATAATGCAGCATGCCTCATTAAGAGCCACATCCACTGTTTTAGTGTGGTGAGATGTGTTCCACACTCAGCAGCAGAGTAGTGTAGCGCAAGGGCAGATGTCTTCACTGTGTCTGGTTGTGATCCCCAGGTTGTGCCAGTCAGCTTTCGTATGATATTATTTCTAGCGCCCACTTTTTGCTTGATGTTCTGGCAGTGCTTCTTGTAGGTAAGAGCACAGTCCAGAGTGACTCCCAGGTATTTGGGTGTGTTGCAATGCTCCAGTGGGATTCCTTCCCAGGTCATCCTCAGAGCTCGGGATGCTTCTCTGTTCTTAAGGTGAAAGGCGCATGTCTGTGTTTTAGATGGATTAGGGTGGGATTACAGTCCCACCCTGGACTGTAATACTGTAATACAGTAGTTCCCAATCTGGTGTCCCCAGATGTTTTTGGCCTACAACTCCCAGAAATCCCAGCCACTTTACTAGCTGTTAGGATTTCTGGGAGTTGAAGGCCAAAAACATCTGGGGATCCCAGGTTGAGATAGGCAGTAAGGGCACCTAGAGCTTCAGAGAGCTTCTGTTCAACCATCTCAAAGCTCCCTGCTTGGGCGGTGATGGCACGATCATCAGCATAGATGAAGCTCTCTGTCCCTTCTGGCAGTGGTTGGTCATCTGTGTAGATGTTGAACGTGGATGGAGCAAGCACGCTCCCCTGAGGCAGGCCGTTCTTCTGTTTCCGCCATCTGCTTCTCTGGCCCTGGAACTCAACAAAGAAGCTTCTGTTTTGTAGCAGGTTTCCTATGAGGCGGGTGAGGTGGTCGTCCTTTGTGATATTCTACATTTTTCTCAGGAGGAGGCGGTGGTTCACAGTATCATAAGCCGCTGACAGGTCTATGAAGACAGCTCCTGTGATAATAATAATAATAATTACATTAGCGAATAATAATAATAATAATAATAATAATAATTATTATTATTATTATTATTATTATGTGAAAGGCCACCTGACTTGGATCATTCAAAAATACATCACACAGTCCTAGATGCTTGGGAAGGGTTCGACTTGTGATTTTGTGATACTAAATCCAGCATATAGCTCTCGTTTGCTGTGATATACTGTGCTTTGCTTTTGTGTCAATAATAATAATAATAATATTTCTCCATTTTCTTTGCGCAGGCCACAGAGGTCAAGGTGAACAATGTCGATTTCAATCCAGAGTTCACTGCCCGGATGGTGCCCAAAGTGGAGTGGGGAGCCTTGGTGGAAGCTGCAGAGAGTGTGAGTCGGGTCCTCCTGCCATTCATTACACTACGTAACAAAATCTGAAAAATGTTCTATTCCCGGTTTGAAAGTGTTATTTCCTGTTTAATTGTGTGTTACTTACTTGGAACCCTTTGCTCCATTGTTTCCCATTCTTTAGAACCTCGGATCATTGTTTTGCCCTTCTTTTTTTTTGTAGTTGGGTCATCGGTCGGACCTCCCTGCTGAGCCCATCCCTGACTATGAGAGCAATGAGGATTTTCTCCGGAAAGTACATCATGTGTTGATGGAGGTAAGGGATCTCTTCATCATCTTCAGGTTCCTTCATCATCATCTGTTGCCCAGAATCAGAGAATTGGAAGGAACTAGAATGGTCTTCTAGTGGTAGCACAACAGGTTAAACCATTGAACTTGCTGACTTAAAGATTGGCACGTTGAAGCCTGGGTTAGGGTGAGCACCCGACCTTCAGCCCAGCTTACGGTCCACCTAAGCAATTCAGAAATAGCTGTAGCTGTGAGCAGAGAAACTAGGCATTGCTTAAATAGGGAGATATTGTATGGCACCATACAAAAGCAGTACCTATTGATCTACCCACATTTGCATGATTTCAAACTGCTAGGTTGGCTGTTAGCCCTAGCTCTTGCCAACCTAGCAGTTTGAAAACATGCAAATGTGAGTAGATCAATAGGTACTGCTTTTGTATGGTGCCATACAATATCTCCCCGTTTAAGCAGTGTCTAATTTCTCTACTCACAGCTATTTTTGAACTGCTTAGGTGGACAGTAAGCTGGGCTGAAGGTCGGGTGCTCACCCTGACCCAGGCTCGAACTCCCAACCTTTTGGTTGGGAAAAATCTCTTGCTGCTGGTGATTAAAGCCCGGCTTTTACCGTTAAATCGTTGAATCTGCTGATTTAAACGTTGGCAGTTCGAAGCCACAGGTCTGGGTGAGCTCCCACTGTTAGCCCTAGCTCTTACCAACCTAGCGGTTTGAAAACATGCACATGTGAGTAGATCAATAGGTACTGCTTTTGTATGGTGCCATACAATATCTCCCTATTTAAGCAGTGCCTAGTTTCTCTACTCACAGCTACAGCTATTTTTGAACTGCTTAGGTGGACAGTAAGCTGAGCTGAAGGTCAGGTGCTCACCCTGACCCAGGCTCGAACTCCCAACCTTTTGGTTGGGAAAAATCTCTTGCTGTTAGTGATTAAAGCTTGGCTTTTACCATTAAACCGGTGAATCTGCTGACCTAAAGGTTGGCATTTTGAAGCCACAGGTCTGGATGAGCTCCTGCTGTTAGCCCTAGCTCCTGCCAACCTAGCAGTTTGAAAACATGCAAATTTGAGTAGCTCAATAGGTACTGCTTCTGTATGGTGCAATACAATATCTCCCCATTTAAGCAGTGCGTAATTTCTCTACTCACAGCTACAGCTGTTTTTTAATTGCTTAGGTGGACAGTAAGCTGGGCCGAAGGTCGGGTGCTCACCCTGACCCGGGCTCGAACTCCCAACCTTTCAGTTGGGAAAGATCTCTACTCACAGCTATTCTTGAACTACTTAGGTGGACAGTAAGCTGGGCCGAAGGTCGGGTGCTCACCCTGACCCGGGCTCGAACTCCCAACCTTTCAGTTGGGAAAGATCTCTACTCACAGCTATTTTTGAACTGCTTAGGTGGACAGTAAGCTGGGCTGAAGGTCGGGTGCTCACACTGACCCGGGCTCGAACTCCCAACCTTTCAGTTGGGAAAGATCTCTTGCTGTTAGTGATTAAAGCCTAGCCCTTACCATTAAACCGGTGAATCTGCTGACCGATTCAGTTCGAACCCGCAGGTCTGGGTGAGCTCGCGCTGTTAGCCCTAGCTCTTGCCAACCTAGCAGTTTGGCAGAAGCTGGGCCTAACAGTGGGAGCTCACCCCGTCCCTCGGATTCAAACTGCCGACCTTTGGCTCAGCAAGTTCAGCAGCTCAGCGGTTTAACCCACTGGTCCACTGGAGCAGAATATAAAGTGTTTTGAAAGTGATGGTAAGACCCCTTCAGTTCCAGTTCCACGTCATCAAATGTTTCTTCTTTTGCAGGTGGAGGTGATGGAAGGTGTATTGAAATGCCCAGACACGGGGCGTGAGTTTCCCATCACAAAGGGAATCCCCAATATGTTGCTGAGTGAAGAGGAGACATGAAGAACATTGATCTCAATGGGAGGAGGGCGCCTTTGTTTGTGTGGAAAGGACACCCCTCTTAATCTTTCTTTAGGGGAAAGGTGTTTGAAAGAACCCTCTCAAGGGTAGTTATTAGGCATGTGCAATCTATGGTTCTAAATTCATTTCATTATAAATGGCAGTTCCTAATTGGTTATGTCAAAAAAATATCAATAATGAAATAATAATGAAATTTTGGAAGTTTTGTTAGAGTTCTGAAAATTTCACCACCAGCGCCCCCTAGTTTTCACCATTAGAACTTTAGTTTTGTAAGTACTTTAGAACCATTTAGAAGCCTGGATTGCACATGCCTAGTAGTTATGTTTCTTTGTATGTGTATAAATAAATGCAAGTGCTTGTTTAACTCTGTGGTGCTCTCCTTGCCTTTCCTCTTATTGTCTGGCATTCGATTTTTTGAAATACTGCAAATGCTCTGGTTTTTTACCTTTATTTCGTGTCAAAAGCATTGCATAAAATAGCTCTAGGTGCTCTTACTGCCTATTAAAGGGAAAACCAGCTGATCCCTAATCCATCTAAAACACAGACATGTGCTTTTCATTTTAAGGACAGACAAGCATCCCGAGTTCTAAGGATTACCTGGGAAGGAATCCCACTGGAGCATTGCAGCACACCCAATTACCTGGGAGTCACTCTGGACCGTGCTCTGACCTACAAGAAGTACTGCCTGAACATCAAGCACAAAGTGGGTGCTAGAAATAATATCATACGAAAGCTGACTGGCACAACCTGGGGATCACAACCAGACACAGTGAAGACATTTGCCCTTGCGCTGTGCTACTCTGCTGCTGAGTACGCATGCCCAGTGTGGAACACATCTCACCACACTAAAACAGTGGATGTGGCTCTTAATGAGACATGCTGCATTATCATGGGGTGTCTGCGCCCTACACCACCGGAGAAATTACACTGTTTAGCCGCTATCGCACCAGCTGACATCCGCCAGGAAGTAGCAGCCAATAGTGAAAGGACCAAGGCAGAGACATCTCCAGCTCATCCCTTATTTAGGTATCAGCCAGCACGCCGACAACTTAAATCAAGTTTTCTAAGATCTACAAAGACACTTGCTTGAACACCTCAGCAAGCGAGAGTCCAAAAGTGGCAGGCTCAAACCCAGCACCTCAATCAATGGCTGATACCAAATGAGAGACTCCCCCCTGGGCACACAGAAGACTGGGCGACTTGGAAGGCGCTGAACAGACTCGGAGTTTCGGCCTGGACCGCTACCAATATGCGGACGATACCCAACTCCTTCTGCGCCTGGAGCCAACGTCAATTCCAGACAATTTCACCCTATGCCTGGAAGCTCTGTCGAACTGGCTATGTGCTAGCAGACGGAAGGCGATCCCGGCGAAAACAGATTCTTTGTCATGGCCGCCCGGCAGGTCTGACTCATCCGTTGCCCACCTTCGATGGTGCCGCCCTATCTCCATTGACCACTATTAAGAGCTTAGGTGTCATCCTGGATTCACAGCTGACAATGGAAGCCAGCAAACAGGCCCTTTTCCATCTACGACAAGTGAGGCAACTGGCACCCCACCTATCTGACGAGGCTCTGGCAATTGTCATTAATGCCACGGTCACGTCTAGGCTGGACTATTCCAACGCCCTGTATGTGGGCCTTCCGATGTCTACGACCCGAAAGCTTCGTATTGTTCAGAACGCGGCAGCCAGGTTACTCACAAGAACGCCCATGAAATGCCACATAACACCAGTGCTGCAACATTTACATTGGCTTCCAACTGGCCTGTCTAAGATGCTAGTTCTGGTGTGGTGACCCCCAACCATAAAATTATTTTTGTTGCTACTGCATAACTAATTTTTCTACTGTTATGAATTGTCACATAAATATCTGAAATGCAGGATATATTTTCATACACTGGACCAAATTTGACACAAATACTCGATACACCCAAATTTGAATACTGATGGGGTTGCGGGGAGGATTGATTTTGTCATTTTGAAATTGTAGTTGCTGGAATTTATAGTTTAAAAGGTAAAGGTAGTCCCCTGAAATTAAGTCCAGTCATGTCTGACTCTGGGGTGTGGTGCTCATCTCCATTTCTAAGCCGAAGAGCCAGCGTTGTCCGTAGACACCTCCAAGGTCATGTGGCCGGCATGACTGCATGGAGCGCCCTTACCTTCCCGCCAGAGTGGTACCTATTGATCTACTCACATTTGCATGTTTTCGAACTGCTAGGTTGGCAGAAGCTAGGGCTGACAGCGGAAGCTCACGCCGCTCCCCGGAATCGAACCTGCGACCTTTCGATCAACAAGCTCAGCAGCTCAGTGCTTTAACCCACTGCGCCACCGGGGGCTCCAATCCGGGGGAGGATTGATTTTGTCATTTTGAAATTGTAGTTGCTGGAATTTATAGTTTACCTACAATCAAAGAGCATCTGAACTCCATCAACAATTGAATTGAACCAATCTTGGCACACATAACTCCCATGACCAACAGAAAATACCGGAAGGGTTTGCTGGGCATTGACCCTGAGTTTGGGAGTTGTAGTTCACCTACATCCACAGAGCACTGTGAACTCAAATAATGATGGATCTGGACCACACTTGGCACGAATCCTCAATATGCCCAAATGTAAACACTGGTGGTGTTTGGGGAAAATAGACCTTGACATTTGGGAACTGTAGTTACTGGGATTTATACAGTGGTTCTCAACCTTGCTAATGCCGTGACCCCTTAATGCAGTTCCCTATGTTGTGGTGACCCCCAACCATAATATTGTTTTTGTTGCTACTTGATACCTGTCATTCTAGTGCGGTTATAAATTCTAATGTAAATATCCGATATGCAGGATATATTTTCATTCACTGGACTAAATTGAGCACGAATACTCAATATGCCCAAATGTGAATGCTAGTGGGGTTGGGGTGGGGGGAGGACTGATTTTGTAATTTGGGAGTTGTAGTTGCTGGGTTTTGTAGTTCACCTATAATCAAAAAGCATTCTGAACTCCACCAGCGATGGATTTAAACCGAACTTGGCACAAAGAACTCCCATGACCAACAGAAAACACTGGGTTTTGTGGGCATTGACTTTGAGTTTGGGAGTTGTAGTTCACCTACATCCAGAGAACACTGTGGACTCATGCAGTGATGGATCTGGATCAAACCTGGCACAAATACTCAATATGCCCAACACTGGTGGAGTTTGGAGAAAATAGGCCTTGCCATTTGGGAGTTGTAATTGTTGGGATTTATAGTTCACCCACAATAAAATAGCATTCTGAACCCCACCGATAGAATTGGACCAAACTTGGCACACAGAACCCCCATGACCAACAGAAAATACTATGTTTTCTGATGGTCTTTGGCGACCCCTCTGACACCCCCTCGCGACCCCCATGGGGGTCCCGACCCCCAGGTTGAGAAACACTGGATTTATAGTTCACATACAAGCAAAGGGTTTGCTGGGCATTGACCCTGAGTTTGGGAGTTGTAGTTCACCTACATCCACAGAGCACTGTGAACTCAAATAATGATGGATCTGGACCACACTTGGCACGAATCCTCAATATGCCCAAATGTAAACACTGGTGGTGTTTGGGGAAAATAGACCTTGACATTTGGGAACTGTAGTCACCAATGATTGAATTGGGCCAGACTTCCCACACAGGACCCCCATGATCAATAGAAAATACTGTGTTTTCTGATGGTCTTTGGTGACCCCTCTGACAACCCCTCGTGACCCCTCCAGGGGTCCCGACCCCCAGGTTGAGAAACACTGTCCCCTATTGTGCAGTCTGGTGTCCTTGCCCTTTGCAGAACTATAAGTTACTACCTCTTATTGGGGGGGGGGGGGGATGCTCAGCTTCAATTGCTCAACCGTCTTAGCAGCCTCCATGCCTTCTGGCTGCTCCTGCCCATGTCCACCTCTGTGATCAGCTTGATCCACTGTTCTTTCTTGGCGTTCCTAAAGATGGGCACCTTCCATAATGAATTGTGTGTCCCGACCCCATCGCATACACACAAGAAGACCACAACGAACAGTTCATAGGCTGCACAGCCAATTCTTTTTTTTAATTTGTTCCATAATAGAGCTCTCTATGAATGTGTATATGTAGCCGCCTATACACAAATCAGAGGTATTTATAATATGTACACACACATAATTTAATACAAAAACAAAACAAAAAAAATTTGCCAGCATCGACTTTTTCCCATTTTTGCCCTCCTTTTCCCGGTCAGGACAAGGAAAAGCAAGAATGGGGGTAGATCTTTTGTTTTTGTCTCTCTCTCTTTGCAATGAATATACAGTAAAATATATTGCTATGTACACAGCTCTCAAGTTTTAGGCCATGCAGCCTCCCTCCCTCCTTGATTTAGCATATGGCTGCCCCTCCCTTCTAGTTGTGAGACTACAATTCCCATCAGCCCTCAATAGGTAATTGCGAGGGATGTTGGGAGTTGAAGTTCAACAACATAAAGGGGTGGCATGTTCTCCAGCCCTGGTTCACTGGGTCGGAAGAGTACTGAAGGGAGGTGAGAGGGTTATTATTATTATTAGTAGTAGTAATAGTACTATTATTATTATTGCTGTTGCTGCTGCTTTGGGCAGAAGATGGGGGTTGGCTTGATCTTGGGAATAATAGGGGTTATTTCTATTTTTGGAGGGAGGAGGATGAGCTGCTCAGCCTCTTATGGCAGGAGAAAACGAGTACGTACATATGAAATTACACCTGAAAAATTAAAAAAAGCATAATTGCCTTTTTTTAAACTATTGCTACGAGGGTATATTAAGTGAGAGAACTTTGCAGGATGGACGACTTCCCTTCTTCGGGAACGTGGGGCGGTCGAGTCCTCATCTCGACCCGCGGCACCTCCCAAAACGTCCAGGCCGTCGCCATGCAAAGCACAACGTAAGACACTCTTCCCCTTTCCTGACGTAATAACGAAGACGATCCTTCCCTCTCCCAACATATATATTATTATTGCTTAATAGTGATAAATGTGTCCAGAGCTCGGCAAAGTTGACATCGCAAAGCTGGCGAGGGCAACTCCGAGCATATCCAGGCCGGCATCCCAATTTTCCCCCCCAAAGTTCGGAAAGCAAGGAGGGAGAGATGGCTTCCGTCGGGAAGGGGAAGAGGTTGGGGGGAAAACGTTTCCCTCCCCTGAGCGATACCCAAAGAAGATTCAGCACTAAAGAGACAGAAAGAAGGCCAAAATATTACAGTAGAGGCTCGCTGATCCGACATAAACATGTCAGCAGAATGTCGGATAAACAACAAGTCGGATAATACGGAGTCTCCAACTGTTACCTGTCCGATGTGGCGCTAGACACCTAGAGTACTACAGTAGAGTCTCGCTTATCTGACATAAGCGGGAAGCAAAACGTCGGATAAACAAAAACGTCGGATAATACGGAGTCTCCTACTGTTACCCGTCGGACGTGGCGCTAGACACCTAGAGTACTACAGTAGAGTCTTGCTTATCCGACATAAATGGGCTAGCAGAAGGTCGGATAAACGAAAATGTCAGATAATACGGAGTCTCCTACTGTTACGTGTCCGACGTGGCATTAGACACCTAGAGTACTACAGTAGAGTCTCTCTTATCCGACATAAATGGGCTAGCAGAACGTCGGATAAACAAAAGTGTCGGATAATACGGGGTCTCCTACTGTTACGTGTCCGACACAGCGCAAGATACCAAGAGTACTTAGGTAGATTATCGCTTATCTGACATAAACGGGGCAGCAGAATGTCATATAAACGAAAATGTCGGATAATACGGAGTCTCCTACTGTTACCTGTCCGACATTGCGCTAGACACCTACAGTACTACAGTAGAGTCTCACTTATCTGACGTAGGCGGGGCAGCAGAACGTCGGATAAACAAAAATGTCGGATAATACGGAGTCTCCTACTGTTACCTGTCCGACGTGGTGCTAGATACCTAGAGTACTACAGTAGAGTCTTGCTTATCCGACATAAATGGGCCAGCAGAACGTCGGATAAATGAAAATGTCAGATAATACGGAGTCTCCTACTGTTACCTGTCCGACGTTGCACTAGACACCTAGAGTACTACAGTAGAGTCTCGCTTATCTGACATAAATGGGCTAGCAGAACGTCGGATAAACAAAAACGTCGGATAACACAGAGTCTCCTACTGTTACCTGTCTGACGTGGCGCTAGACACCTAGAGTACTACAGTAGAGTCTTGCTTATCCGACATAAGCAGGGCAGCAGAACGTCGGATAAACAAAAACGTCGGATAACACGGAGTCTCCTACTGTTACCTGTCGGACGTAGTGCTAGACACCTAGAGTACTACAGTAGAGTCTTAGTTATCCGACATAAATGGGCTAGCAGAAGGTCGGATAAACGAAAATGTCAGATAATACGAAGTCTCCTGTTACGTGTCTGACACGGCGCAAGACACCTAGAATACTAACAGCGACTCAAAAGGTTAAGGCAAGGCAACGCCTTAGGGCTAGAGGGATCCAGCAGGAAGTGCCCGGATGTGGAAGAGGAGCGTGGAAATCACAGAGTGAAGGAAGGAGGACTCTTCCGTTTCCGGTCTGGCTTCTTTTCCCCATTTCCTCCTTCCTCCTCCTCCTCCTCCTCCTCGTCTTGCCTTTTTCAGTTACTGGGAATGGAGAGTTGGGGAGCGCTCTTTTAACTGAAGGGAAAAAGCTGGAGGAAAAGCAGGTCGTTGGATAAGAGCGTCGGAATGTCGGATAAGCGAAGGTCGGATAAGCGAGACTCTACTGTATGTGGTGTCACCCCACTCCAAACGCGCCGTGTCCGAATTCCCTCCTCATTCCCTGGAGCCTTGAAGCAATGTTTTTAAATACCAGACTTTGGACTACAACTCCCATGAGCTGGGAATGATGGGAATGCTAGTTCAAACGGTTCTGCCTATCCTCCTTCGGTATACCCACCATGTTAAGGTGCATTTGGCTGGGCCCAGCCCAGAGGGGTGGAAGGTGTAGGATAGGAGGAGGCCCGAGACAGTAGTGTGTTTCGACGCTTTGCCGGTGATGAGAACGTCCAGTGTCCCGCACACCCCGGTACACGCTCGTCCCTTTCTCCTCCTCGATGTGATGCGAATCAAATATGGCTTCCAAGCTAAAACTACAGTAGATAATACCCCTCCCCGCCCATTTTAATAATAAATTAAAATCAAAATATGGCTTCCAGTGTGAATGTCAACAAACTCTCTCCATCCCTCTTTCCCCTTTCAAGTGTCCTTCCCGTCCGGGTCTGGGTTTCCAACGGCTCTGTCCTTTCTCTCCCTGATACGTATTATCATCTTGGGTGAAGCAGTGGGCAATTAGTATATTTGCATACACTGAAATGCATTCGACATGATGCAGATGAGCAGGTGGCGGGGATCGGAGCGAGGACGCCACCCCGATGATCCGCCAATCCGTGTCGCGTCGGGCCGCGCCTCCTCCTGCCCTCTCTTCCAGCCCCGGACATTCAATCCATCATGGCCTCCAGCATCTCCAGGAAAAGCTTATGCATGGGGACCTTGCCCTCCAGTTTGAGGCTGTAGAAGTGGTGGAGGACGCGGGTGGCCGTCTGGCGCAGCAGCGGGAGCGTGAGGAGCAGGCGCCCGGCCCGGCGGGGCTCTTCGGGGCGCCGCGACGCTTCGTATTCCAAGAGAGCCTCGTGGAGCACGTCGCGGAGCCGCTGGACGGCCGCCATGTCCTCAATGTGCACAGAGTCTGGAGGAGAGGAGGAAGGCACACTCACAATCAAATATACACATATACAATAATAAAACAACAGCACAACAACAGAGAGGAAACAAACAAGGACATCTAATCACCTCTCAACAAAAGTTTGCTCCAGGCACAGTCAGGCTATCCAATGCTAATTAAGGTGGTCAGTGGAATCATTCACACCTAGCTCCAGCAGACAAGAGTCCTTTGTCCCACCCTGGTCATTCCACAGATATATAAACCCTTTTTCCTAGTTCCATCAGACCTCACTACCTCTGAGGATGCTTGCCATAGATGCAGGCGAAATGTCAGGAGAAAATGCCTCCAGACCAACCTACAACAAGCCAGTGATTCCGGCCATGAATGCCTTCGACAATAATAAAACAGTATATCATTATATATTACCATATATTAACACTAATAACTATAACTAATAACTAATAATATATCAGGATTACTATATTAGTATTATATATAGTAATCTATATAAATAAAAATGTATTGTTCGTTTGTGGGATGAACAGAACTCAAAAACCACTGGACGAAATGACACAAAATTTGGACACTACACCCCTAACAGACCAATGAGTGACCATCACTCATAACCCCCCCCCAAAAGTGGAAAGGACTTAAAACCCCCCAAAAGCTAAATGATGAAATGCTAAATGACGATACAGAAAAAAGGAAGGAAGAGGGAGAGAAGGAAGGAAGGAAGGAAGGAAGGAAGGAAGCAAGCAAAGAGGTAGAGAAGGAAGAAAGGAGAGAAAGAGGAAAAGAAAAGAGGGGAAGGAAAGAAAGGGGCAGAGAAGGAATGAAGGAGAGAAGGAAAGGAAAAAAAGGAAAGAAAGGAATGAGGGAGGGAAGGAAGAAGGGAAAGAAAGGGGAAGGGAAGGAAAGACAGACGGAAGGGTGGAAGCAAAAAGCAAATGAAGGAAGGAAAGAGGTAGAGAAGGAAGAAAAGAGAAAGAGGAAAAGAAAAAGGGGAAGGAAAGAAAGGGGTAGAGAAGGAAGGAAGGAAAGAAGGAAAGGAAGGAAAAGGAGCGATGGAAGGAGGGAAAGAGGTAGAGAAGGAAGAAAGGAGAGAAAGAGGGAGGGCAGGAAAGAAGGAAAGACAGAAGGAAGGATGGAAGCAAAAAGCAAAGGAAGGAAAGAGGTAGAGAAAGAAGAAAGGAGAGAAAGGGAAGGAAAAGAAAAAGAGAGGAAAGAAAGAGGTAGAGAAGGAAGGTAGGAGAGAAAGAAAGAAAAAAAGGAAGGAAGGAAGGAAGGAAGGAAGGAAGGAAGGAAGGAAGGAAGGAAGGAAGGAAGGAAGGGAAAGAGAAGGGAAGGAAGGGAAGAGGAAAGGAATGAAGCAAAGAGGTAGAGAAGGAAGAAAGGAGAAAAAGAGGAAAAGAAAAGGGGGGAAGGAAAGAAAAGGGCAGAGAAGGAATGAAGGAGAGAAGGAAAGGGGGAAAAAGGAAAGAAAGGAATGAGGGAGGGAAGGAAGAAGGGAAAGAAAGAGGAAGGGAAGGAAAGACAGACGGAAGGGTGGAAGCAAAAAGCAAATGAAGGAAGGAAAGAGGTTGAGAAGGGAGAAAAGAGAAAGAGGAAAAGAAAAAGGGGGAAGGAAAGAAAGGCGTAGAGAAGGAAGGAAGGAAAGAGAAGGAAGCATGGAAGCAAAGAGCGAAGGAATGAAGCAAAGAGGTAGAGAAGGAAGAAAAGAGAAAGAGGAAAAGAAAAAGGGGGAAGGACAGAAAGGGGTAGAGAAGGAAGGAAAGAAGGAAAGGGAGGAAAAGGAGCAATGGAAGGAGGGAAAGAGGTAGAGAAGGAAGAAAGGAGAGAAAGGGAAGGAAAAGAAAAAGAGAGGAAGAAAGAGGTAGAGAAGGAAGGTAGGAGAGAAAGAAAGAAAAAAAAGGAAGGAAGGAGTGAAGGAAGGAAGGAAGGAAGGAAGGAAGGAAGGAAGGAAGGAAGGAAGGAAAAGGAGCGATGGAAGGAGGGAAAGAGGTAGAGAAGGAAGAAAGGAGAGAAAGAGGGAGGGCAGGAAAGAAGGAAAGACAGAAGGAAGGATGGAAGCAAAAAGCAAAGGAAGGAAAGAGGTAGAGAAAAAAGAAAGGAGAGAAAGGGAAGGAAAAGAACAAGAGAGGAAAGAAAGAGGTAGAGAAGGAAGGAAGGAGAGAAAGAAAGAAAAAAGGAAGGAAGGAAAGAAGGAGGGAGGGAAGGAAGGAAGGAAGGAAGGAAGGAAGGAAGGAAGGAAGGAAGGAAGGAAGGAAGGAAGAGGGAGGGAAAGTTGGCCACAGCAACGCGTGGCTGGTACAGCTAGTCTATATAAATAAAAATGTAATGTTCGTTTGTGGGTTTAACAGAACTCAAAAACCACTGGGCGAATTGACACCAAATTTGGACACAAGACAACAATCAGGCCAACGAGTGACCATCACTCAAAAAATGATTTTGTCATTTGGGAGTTGTAGTTGCTGGGATTTATAGTTCACCTACAATCAAAGAGCTTTCTGAACCCCACCAACGATGGAATTCAACCGAAGGTAACACACAGGATTCCAATGACCAACAGAAAACACTAGAAGGGTTTGGTGGGCATTGACCTTGAGTTTGGGAGTTGTAGTTCACCTACATCCAGAGAGCACTGTGGACTCAAACAATAATAGATCTGGACCAAACTTGGCACGAATATTCCATATGCCCAAATATGAACACAGATGGAGTTTAAGGGAAATAGACCAGAGTCTGGAGGAGAGGAGGAAGGCACACTCACAATCAAACATACACATATACAATAATAAAAACAGCATATCGTTATATATTAACAGTACTAATTATATTTAATATCTCAGGATTACTATATTAGTATTATATATACTAACCTATACAAATAACCAACCTCAAAAACTTGGCAGAGACACCGAGATCTGGGAAGTAGGCACGGGCAATCCATGGTTCTCAATGGTTCTAAAGTACTTACAAAACTAGGGGGCGCTGGTGCTTTGCTTCTACAGTGTTGCTCAAGTTCTGGCGGTGAAAATTTCAGAACTCTAACAAAACTTTCAAAATTTCATTATTATTTCAGTATTGATGATTTTTATGACATTTAACAATTAAGAACTGCCATTTATAATGACATTTTGAAAGTTTTGTTAGAGTTCTGAATTTTTCACCACCAGAACTTTAGTTTTGTAAGTACTTTAGAACCATTTAGAGCCATGGATTGCACATGCCTAGTCCATTCCAAACTAGAGTATGTCAACTGCTTTGGAGTCTGGTGGAGTCTCCTTCCATGGAGGTTTTAAAACAGAGGTTGGATGGCCATCTGTCGGGAGGGCTCTGATGGTGTGTCCCTGTGTGGCAAGGGGCTGGACTGGATGGCCCTTGGGGGTCCCTTGTAGGCATGTGCAATCCACGGTTCTAAATCATTCTAAAGTACTTACAAATCTAAAGTTCTGGTGGTGAAAATTTCGGAACTCTAACACAACTTTCAAAATTTCATTATTGATTATTTTTATGACATAACCAATTAGGAACTGCCATTTATAATGAAATTTTGATTCCAACTGCTTTGGAATCTGGTGGAGTCTCCTTCCATGGAGGTTGCAAAATAGAAGGTGGATGGTCATCTGCTGGGAGGGCTCTGATGGTGTGTCCCTGTGTGGCAAGGAGTTGGACTGGATGGCCCTTGGGAGACTCTTCCAACCGCTTTGGAATCTGGTGGAGTCTCTTTCCATGGAGGTTTTAAAGCAGAGGTTGGATGGCCATCTGTGGGGAGGGCTTTGATGGTGTGTCCCTGTGTGGCAAGGGGTTGGACTGGATGACCCTTGGGGGTCCCTTCTAGGCATGTGCAACCCATGCTTCTAAATGGTTCTAAAGTACTTACAAAACTAAAGTTCTGGTGGTGAAAACTAGGGCGCGCGGGTGCTTTGCTTCTACAGTGTTGCTAAAGTTCTGGCGGTGAAAATTTCGGAACTCTAACACAACTTTCAAAATTTCATTATTATTTCATTATTGATGATCTTTATGACATAACCAATTAGGAACTGCCATTTATAACGAAATTTTGAAAGTTTTGTTAGAGTTCTGAAATTTTCACCACCAGAACTTTAACAACACTGTAGAAGCAAAGCACCAGCTCCTCCTAGTCTTCACCACCAGAACTTTTTGGTACGTCAACTGCTTTGGAATCTGGTGGAGTCTCCTTCCATGGAGGTTTTAAAGCAGAGGGTGGATGGTCATCTGTCGGGAGGGCTTTCCCGGCACTCACCTGAGTTGGCAAGGGCCAAGGCCTTGAGAAGGACGTACTCCTCGCGCTCCAGGCGCAGGGCCCGGTACTTGCGCACCAGCTGCAGGACCACCCCGCTGAGCTCCAAGAGCCCTGCCGTCCGAGCGGCTTCCTCGTCGAGCGCAAAATCCTCGGCAAAGACGATCTCGTCCTCGCACGGCAAGGAGCGCCAGGCCACCCCGAGCAGCAGGACCTCCAGCCAGACGCTCTGCAGCACCGACATCTGGTCCGCCAAGGACAGCGCTGGAAACCCTGCAAAGAAATCGTACATTGGCCAAAAACTCACAGGCACGTTTCTCCCTTTCGCCCTGCATTTGTGCCTCTTCGAATTCCACAGCACTGCTGATCACAGCTGACTTCCAGTTACGAGCACTCAAGGGCAATGGCTTCCCTTTAGGCATGGGTTCTAAATGGTTCCAAAGTACTTACCAAACTAGGAGGCGCTGGTCCTTTGCTTCTACTGTGTTTTGCTTAAGTTCTGGTGGTGAAAATTTCAGAACTCTAACAAAACTTTCAAAATTTCATTGTTATTTCCCATCCATGTTCAACATCTACACAAATGACCAGCCACTGCCAGAAGGGACAGAGAGCTTCATCTATGCTGATGATCCTGCCATCACCGCTCAAGCAGGGTGCTTTGAGATGGTTAAACTGAAGCTCTCCGAAGCTCTAGGTGCCCTTACCGCCTACTACAGGGAAAACCAGCTGAGCTCTAACCCATCTAAAACACAGACATGTGCCTTTCACCTTAAGAACAGACAAGCATCCCGAGCTCTGAGATGACCTGGGAAGGAATCCCACTGGAGCATTGCAGCGCACCCAAATACCTGGGAGTCACTCTGGACCGTGCTCTGACTTACAAGAAGCACTGCCTGAACATCAAGCAAAAAGTGGGCGCTAGAAACAATATCATACGAAAGCTGACTGGCACAACCTGGGGATCACAACCAGACACAGTGAAGACATCTGCCCTTGCGCTATGCTACTCTGCTGCTGAGTATGCATGCCCAGTGTGGAACACATCTCACCACACTAAAACAGTGGCTGTGGCTCTTAATGAGACATGCTGCATTATCACGGGGTGTCTGCGCCCTACACCACTGGAGAAATTACACTGCTTAGCCGGTATTGCACCACCTGACAACCGCCGGGAAGTAGCAGCCAATAGTGAAAGGACCAAGGCAGAGACATCTCCAGCTCTATCCCTTGTTTGGGTATCCAGCACGCCAACGACTTAAATCTAGAATAGTTTTCTAAGATCTACAGAGACATTTGCTGGAACACCTCAGCAAGCGAGAGTCCAAAAATGGCAGGCTCAAACCGAGAACCTCAATCAATGGCTGATACCCAATGAGAGACTCCCCCCTGAGGTCAGAAATGGACCAGAGATAGTGTTTTGCTTTCCATCGAGTCATAGAAAGGCAAGTTCCACATCTCTCTCACCTGGGATGTTTTTGGCCCAGCCGATAATGACCACGATCTCCCGGTCCGCCAAATCGCATAGGGTGCTTGCTGCCTTGGCAGGGCCATCCGGGAGCGCGGGATCCGGCATGGCATACAGTTTCTCAGGCTCCGCCACCAGTAAATGCGACACCATTGTGTTCATGGGAGCTGTGGGAATTGACAACAAGCAAGAGATGTGTCAGGAAGGGGTCTGCATACTTGAGTCTCCCCTCTCCACATCCCACCCCGAATAGACCCATTTCTGTCACGTCCAGAAACTATAGATCATGGATTGCTCTCTGGCCGCAGAGAAAACTACAACTCCCACTATGGTGAGTCATTCCCTTCAAATCTCTCCAGTAGGCAGAGTTAGTCATGGGGGTTCTGTGTGCCAAGTTTGGTCCAGGTCCATCATCGGTGAAGGTCACAGTTTCTCTGGTAGTAGGTGAACTACAACTCCCAGAAAGGAAGGTCCGTTCTCCCCAAACCCCTCAAGTAATCAAATTTCAACATATCAGGTCTGTGTGCCAAGTTTGGTCCAGATCCATCAGTGTTTGGGTTGACAGGAATCTGTGGATGTAGGTGAACTACAACTCCCCCAAATCAAGGTAAATTTCCCCCAGAGTCCTCCAATATTTTTTGCTGGCCATGGAGGCTCTGTGTGCCAAGTTTGGTCCAGGTCCATCATCAGTGGAGGTCACCATTTCTCTGGTTGTGGGTGAACTACAACTCCCAGAAAGGAAGGTCCGTTCCCCTCAAACCCCTCAAATAATCAAATTTCAACATATCAGGTCTGTGTGCCAAGTTTGGTCCAGATCCATCAGTGTTTGGGTTGACAGGGATCTCTACACGTAGGTGAACTACAACTCCCCCAAATCAAGGTGAATTTCCCGCAGAGTCCTCCAATATTTTTTGCTGGCCATGGAGGCTCTGTGTGCCAAGTTTGGTCCAGGTCCATCATCGGTGGAGGTCACCATTTCTCTGGTTGTGGGTGAACTACAACTCCCAGGAAGGAAGGTCCGTTCCCCCCAAAACCTCTCAAGTAATCAAATTTCAACATATCAGGTCTGTGTGCCAAGTTTGGTCCAGATCTATAGGTGTTTGGGTTCACAGTGCTCTCTGAATGTGGGTGAACTACAACTCCCAGGAAGGAAGGTCCGTTCCCCTCAAACCCCTCAAATAATCAAATTTCAACATATCAGGTCTGTGTGCCAAGTTTGGTCCAGATCCATCGGTGTTTGGGTTCACAGTGCTCTCTGAATATGGGTGAACTACAACTCCCAGGAAGGAAGGTCCATTCCCCTCAAACCCCTCAAGTAATCAAATTTCAACATATCAGGTCTGTGTGCCAAGTTTGGTCCAGATCCATTGGTGTTTGGGTTCACAGTGCTCTCTGCATGTAGGTGAACTACAACTCCCCCAAATCAAGGTAAATTTCCCCCAGAGTCCTCCAGTATTTTTTGCTGGCCATAGAATCTCTGTGTGCCAAGTTTGGTCCAATTTCATCTTTGGTGTTTAGAGTACTCAAGTGAACTATAAATCCCAGTACCTACAACTCCAAAATGCCCAGGCAAATTCTCTTCAAAGCCCACCTGTATTCGAATTTGGGCATATTGAGTATGCATGCCAAGTTTGGCCCAGATCCATCATTGTTTGGGTTCATACGGAGCACTTTTTTTCCCTCTGTGTCAGGAGCGACTTGAGAAACTGCAAGTCACTTCTGGTGTGAGAGAACTGGCCGTCTGCAAGGATGTTGTCCAGGGGACGCCTGGTTGTTTTTGATGTTTTACCATCCTTGTGGGAGGCTTCTCTCATGTCCCCGCATGGGGAGCTGGAGCTGACAGAGGGAGCTCATCCACACTCTCGCCGGATTCGAACCTGTGACCTGTCGGTCTTCACAAGGGTTTAACCCACTGCGCCACCAGTGTTGTAGGTGAACTACAACTCCTCTAAATCCATCCAAAGACCTCCAGTATTTTTTCTTGGTCATGGGGGTTTTGTGTGCCAAGTTAGTTCCAGGCCCATTGTTGGTGGAGTTCAGAGTGCAGTTCTTAGATTTCAGATGAACTATACATCCCAGTACCGACAACTCCTATAAATCACGGTGAATTCTCCCCAAACCTCTCTAGTACATTCAGTTGCTGATCAATTCCTCTGTTTGTGGTGTGCCATAGAAAAGAATAAGAAAGGGTTGAGGAAGAAGTGGTAGGCAGGGTCATGCGAATTCCACACCAATGGAGAGAGAGTAGGGAACCCTGGGATGTCTGGGGTGCAGCAAATACACATAAAATCTAGGACCTACAACTCCTATAAATCAGGATGAATTCGCCTCCAACATCTCTAGAAAAGAATAGGAAAGGATTATGGAAGAGGCTGTGTGCGGGGTCAAGCAAATTCCACACCAATGGAGAGAGTAGGGAACCCTGGGATGTCTGGGGTGGAGCAAACACGTAAAATCTAGGATCTACAACTCTTATAAATCAGGGTGAATTCGCCTCCAACATCTCTAGAAAAGAATAGGAAAGGATTATGGAAGAGGCAGTGTGCGGGGTCATGCAAATTCCACACCAATGGAGTGAGTAGGGAACCCTGGGATGTCTGGGGTGGAGCAAACACGTAAAATCTAGGACGTACAACTTCTATAAATCAGGGTGAATTCGCCTCCAACATCTCTAGAAAAGAATAGGAAAGGATTATGGAAGAGGCAGTGTGTGGAGTCATGCGAATTCCACACCAATGGAGAGAGTAGGGAACCCTGGGATGTCTGGGGTGGAGCAAACATGTAAAATCTAGGATCTACAACTCTTATAAATCAGGGTGAATTTGCCTCCAACATCTCTAGAAAAGAATAGGAAAGGATTATGGAAGAGGCAGTGTGCGGGGTCATGTGAATTCCACACGAATGGAGAGAGTAGTAAACCCTGGGATGTCTGGGGTGCAGCAAACACATAACATCTAGGACCTACAACTCCTATAGATCAGGGTGAATTTGCCTCCAACATCTCTAGGAAAGGATTATGGAAGAGGCAGTGTGCGGGGTCATGCAAATTCCGCACCAATGGGGAGAGTAAGGAACACTGGGATATCTGGGGTGGAGCAAACACATAAAATCTAGTACACACGCTGAGCATACCGTGCGATACAAGCTATATTATATGGCCAGCCTCGTTTGCAGAGCTTTCTTGCAAGCAGTTGAGGAGAAGCCAAATAGTAATCTTATTTTTCCTGCAGCGGGGAAGGGAATTGCGTAGGATTATCCCCAAGTAACGGTTCCTGGAGTGAGTAATTCCCATGGCAACCAGATGGCACAACCCCAAGCGTGTAGGCCAGGATGGAAAGGCTTTCTGATGCCTAGAGAAGGAAGGTTTTTGCAACCCTCCCAGATCTGTAATGTTCGGAGTGAAGGGCGCTCCACGATTATCTCTATACACATAACTAGCCGTCCTCTGTCATGCTGTGTGTATATAGCTATATAAATAAAAATGTAATGTTCGTTTGTGGGATTAACAGAACTCAAAAACCACTGGACGAATTGACACCAAATTTGGACACAAGACACCTAACAACCCAATGTATGTCCTTCACTAAAAAAAAAAAATGGATTTTGTCATTTGGGAGTTGTAGTTGTTGGGATTTATAGTTCACCTACATCCAGAGAGCACTGTGGACTCAAACAATGATGGATCTGGACCAAACACTACAGGAATACTCGATATGCCCAAATGTGAACACTGGTGGAGTTTGGGGAAAATAGAATCTTTACATTTGGGAGTTGTAGTTGCTGGGATTTATAGTTCACCTGCAATCAAAGAGCATTCTGACTCCACCAACGATGGAATTGAACCAAACTTAGCACACACTTTTCCCACGACCAAGAGAAAATACTGGAAGGGTTTGGTGGGCAGTGTCCTTTGGTTTTGGAGTTATAGTTCACCTACATCCAGAGAGCACTGTGGACTCAAACAAGTATGGATCTGGACCAAACTTGGCACAGATACTCAATATGCCCAAATGTGAATACTGGTGGGGTTTGGGGAAAATAGAATCTTGACATTTGGGAGTTGTAGTTGCTGGGATTTATAGTTCACCTACAATCACAGAGCATGGGCTGTTTTGGACTCCAACACCCACCAAAGTCTGTCCAAAACAGCTCGAGGGAAGACCCAAGTTGTCCCATACCTGCTCGAAGCCCTTTCCCACAAATTTGGGCTGCAATGTGCCTTTAGACCCTTTCGTCCCCACTCACCCGGCTTCTTGGGAGTCACGGTGGCAATCTGTGGGGTGACGAAGGCGCTGGGGTAGGTGGCCCCCTCCACCTCGGGCCTCCGCTTGTACTTCTGCCGGCCTCCTCGTACCCGATCGAGACGCACCCCTGAAGGATTGGGACAGAGAGAGAGAAAGTACATGATGAGCAGAGCCAACTCTTTGAAACCCTTAGCTGATTTGTGGGGCTGGAAGTCTGTCCCTATACCTCCCCAAAGAGGGAGTGCATGGTGCAGTTCCTACACTGGGAGGAAGCCTTATTGTTGCACTCCAGAACAGGAATAACCCTCTGATTTCAAAACACCACGAGTTGAGTAGGAAAACAATCCTTTTTTATTGAAATGAGGAGGAGGAGGAGAAAGAGAAGAAGGAGAAGAAGGAGGAGAAGGAGGAGGAGAAGAAAGAGAAGAAGGAGAAGGGGAAGAAGGAGGAACAGAAGAAGAAGAAGAAGAAGAAGAAGAAGAAGAAGAAGAAAGAGGAGAAGGAGAAGGAGGAAGAGGAGGAGGAAGAGGAGGAGAAGAGGAAGAAGGAGAAGGAGGAGGAGGAGAAGAAGAAGAAAGGGAAGGAGGAGGAGGAGAAGAAGAAAGAGAAGAAGAAGGACAAGAAGGAGAAGATGAAGGAGGAGAAGGAGAAGATGAAGAAGGAGGAGGAGGAGAAGAAGAAGAAGAAAGGGAAGAAGGAGGAGGAGGAGAAGGAGAAGAAAGAGAAGAAGAAGGACAAGAAGGAGAAGGGGAAGGAGGAGGAGGAGAAAGATGAGGAGGAGAAGGAGGAGAAGAAGAAAAAGAAGGGGAAGAAGAAGGAGGAGGAGAAGATGAAGAAGAAGGAGGAGAAGAGGAAGAAGAAGAAGGAGGAGAAGAAGAAGAAAGAGAAGGAGAAGGGGAAGAAGAAGGAGAAGAAAGAGGAGAAGGACAAGGAGGAGGAGGAGAAGGGGAAGAAGAAGGAGGAGAAGATGAAGAAGGAGAAGAAGAAGGGGAAGGGGAAGAAGGAGAAGGAGGAGAAGAAGAAGGAGAAGGTGAGAAGGAGGAGAAGAAAGAGGAGAAGGAGAAGGAGGAGGAGAAAAAGAAGAAAAAGGAGGAGGAGAAGGAGAAGAAAGAGAAGGAGAACTTTATTTTTCTACCCCGCCTCCATCTCCCCGAAGATGGAGCCCTCGGTGGCGCAGTAGGTTAAACCCCTGTGCCGGCAGAACTGAAGACCGACAGGTTGCAGGTTCGAATCCGGGGAGAGGCGATGAGCTCCCTCTATCAGCTCCAGCTCCTCATGCGGGGACATGAGAGAAGCCTCCCACAAGGATGATAAAGGCATCAAATCATCCAGGCGTCCCCTGAGCAACGTCCTTGCAGACGGCCAATTCTCTCACCCCAGAAGCAACTTGCAGTTTCTCAAGTCGCTCCTGACACACACACACACAAAATCTCCCTGAAGGGACTCGGGGCATCTTACAAGTCCCACCTGACATCCTGTAATGAAGTAGCAGCTTGTAATGAAAGGACCAAGGTACTGACATCACTGGCCCATCCTCTGTTCGGATATCAGCCAGCAAGCCAATGCCTTAAATCAAGAAATGGCTTCCTAAGATCTACACAGATACTCGTAGGAACATCTCAGCAAGCGAGAGTCCAAAAGTGGCAGGCTGAAACACGGAAACTCAATCAGTGGCTGATACCGGATGAGAAACTCACAGAAGAGTGGACGACCTGGAAGGCGATGAACAGGCTGCGCTCTGGCACCACCAGATGCAGAGCTAACCTTAAGAAATGGGGCCACCAAGTGGAGTCCACGACACGTGAGTGCGGAGAAGAGCAAACCATAGACCACCGACTACAATGCAGCTTGAGCCCTGCCACATGCACAATGGAGGACCCTTCTCCCTTCCGATGCACCCCAATTCCCACAACGTTACCTTCCTTGAGCATGCCCACGCGCAGGCACTTGGTGAAGCGGCATGCCTGGCAAGCCTTCCGGCGCCGCTTGGTGATCTCGCACTCGTTGGTCGCTGGGCAGCTGTACTCGATGCTTCCTGAGAGAAAGAAAAGCCCACAGAGAAAAGCTTATACATGAGTCTATATGGCAGAGCTTTCCAAACTATGACTCTATGCCATAGAGTCATAGAATCCTAGAGATGGGCCATCCAGTCCAACCCCATTCTGCCAAGAAGCAGGAATATTGCATTCAAATCACCCCTGACAGATGGCCATCCAGCCTCTGTTTAAAAGCCTCCAAAGAAGGAGCCTCCACCACACTCCGGGGCAGAGAGTTCCACTGCTGAACGGCTCGCATAGTCAGGAAGTTCTTCCTTAATGTTCAGATGGAAAACAAGCCTGCCCCACCTCCCTATGACATTATTATTATTATTATTATTATTATTATTATTATTATTATTATTATTATGACTTCCCCTCCCATCTTGATCCATGGCCCGCCTCATGTCTCCTCTCAGCCTTCTCTTTTGCAGGCTAAACATGCCCAGATCTTTAAGCCGCTCCTCATAGGACTTGTTCTCCAGACCCTTATTTATCTATTTACAACATTTATATCCTGCTCTTCTCACCCCAAAGGGGACTCAGAGCACCTTACAAGATATATACTAGCGGTCCCCTGCCACACGTTGCTGTGGCCCAGTCTGGTGATATAGAAAATAAAGTAATTAGAAAGTACTAGTTTCTAATATATGTAACGTCTTTATGCTTGTGGGTAAACAGTATTTCTTGATGTTTCTTTGACAGTGTTGACGTAGAGATTCCCTGGTTTGCCTACTCTGGAACATGCAACATATAATTGTCCATCTTTAGGAGTCCCTTTCAAATCTATGATACTTTTTCTGTGTGTGTGAATCATATATATCTGTCTATCTCTATGGCTGGATGGCTCTCTGTCAGGAGGGCTTTGATTATGTTTTCTTGCCCTGGTGAAGGGAGTTGGACTGGATGGCCTTAAGTATTTTCTGTTGGTCATGGGGGTTCTGTGTGGGAAGTTTGCCCCAATTCTGTCATTCGTGGGTTTCATTCAGAATAGTCTTTGATTGTAGGTGAACTATAAATCCCAGTAACTACAACTCCCAAATGCCAAGGTCTATTTCCCCCAAATTTCATCTGTGTTCATATTTGGGCATATGGAATATTCATGCCAAGTTTGGTCCAGATCCATCATTGTTTGAGTCCACAGTGCTCTCTGGTTGTAGGTGAACTACAACTCCCAAACTCAAGGTCAATGCCCACCAAACACTGCTAGTCTTTTCTGTTGGTCATGGCAGGCCTGTGTGCCAAGTTTGGTTCAATTCCATCGTTGCTGGAGTTGAGAATGCTCTTTGATTATGGGTGAACTATAAATCCCAACAACTACAACTTCCAAATGACAAAATCATAATTTTTTGAGTGATGGTCACTCCTTGTGTTGTGAGATGTCTTGTTGCCAAATCTGGTGTGATTTCATTCATTGGTTCTTTTGTTTTTAAGGTACTCATTATGCACAGAGCATTTATTTATTTATATATATATATATATATATATATATATATATATATATATATATATATATATATAATTAAAATATACTATATTATTAGCATAGTACAATATCAGTATTAAATATTACTATATTGTATTATACCATTATACTGTAATATTATTAGTAACTAGCCGTCCCCTGCAACGCGTAGCTGTGGCCCACAAGGGGTTCTGTGTGGGAGGTTTGGCCCAATTCTATCGTTAATAGGGTTCAGAATGCTCTTTGATTGTAGGTGAACTATAGATCCCAGCAACTACAACTCCCGAATGTCAAGATTATATTTTCCCCAAACTCCACCAGTGTTCACATTTGGGCATATTGAATATCCGTGTAGAGTTTGGTCCAGATCCATCATTGTTTGAGTCCACAGTGATCTCTGGATGTAGGTGAACTACAACTCCAAAACCAAAGGACACTGCCCACCAAACCCTTCCAGTATTTTCTGTTGGTTGTGGGAGAACTGTGTGCCAAGTTTGGTTCAATTCCATCGTTGCTGGAGTTCAGAATGCTCTTTGATTATAGGTGAACTATAAATCCCAGCAACAACAACTCCCAAATGACAGAATCAATTTTTTTGAGTGGAGAACATACACTGGGTTGTTAAGTGTATCGTGTCCAAATTTGGTGCCAATTGCCCCAGTGGTTTTTGAGTTCCGTGAATAGCACAAACGAGCATTGCATTTTTATTTATATAGATAACTAGCTGTGCCCTGCCACGCGTTGCTGTGGCCTATAGTAAATCTTTTCAAAGTAGAGGTAGATATCTGGAGTATTATGAAAGAGAGGTACCTACCTATTCCTTCCCCCTTTTTCTCCCCCTTTGTCTCCTTTCTTCCTTCTCTACCTCTTTCGCTCCTTGGTTTCATCCTTCTCTCTTTCCTTCATTCCCTCCCCCTTTCTTCCTTTGCCTCCTTTCTTCCCTCCATGTTTCCTTCCTTCTTTCATTTTTTATTTCCTTTTCTCCTTCCTTCTTTACCTCTTTCCTGCCTTTCCTTCCTTTTATTTTTCTTTCCTTTCTACTTTCTCTTCTTGCTTCCTTCGGTACCTCCCTTCTCCTCTTCCTTCTCTTTCCTTCCTTCCCCCTTTTTCTTTCTCTTCTGGTCTCTTTTCTTCCTTCTCTCTTTCCTTCTTTCCTTCCCTCCCTCTTTCTCTACATCTTCCCCCTTCCTTCACTCCCTCTTTCCTTCCTTCATTCCCTTTTTTCTTTCCTTCTCTCCTTCCTTCCTTCCCCCTTTTTCTTTCCCTCCCTCTTTCTCTCATTTCTTCCTTCTCTACCTCTTTCCTTCCTTCCCCCTTTTTCTTTCTCTTCTGCTGTCTCTCTTATCTTTCCTTCCATCTTTCCTTTTCTTCTTCCTTCTTTCTCTTACTTTCCTTCCTTCCCCCTTTTTCTTTACCTCCCTTTCTCTTTCTTCCTTCTTTCCTTCCTTCCCGTCTTTCCTTCTCTTCTTCCTTCTCTATCTCTTTCCTCCCTCCCCCCTTTTTCTTTCCTTTCTTCCCGTCTTTCCTTCTCTTTTTCCTTCTCTATCTCTTTCCTTCCTCCCCCCTTTTTCTTTCTCTTCTGCTGTCTCTTTTTTTCCTTCCTTCTCTCTTTCCTTCTTTCCTTCCCTCCCTTTCTCTACGGGAAGGGGGGGGGGCTTGGAGGGGGCGGGGTTTGGAGGGGAAGAAGAAGGAGGGGGAGGATGTAAGATTGGGGAAGAAGAAGGAGGAGGTAAGATTGGGGAAGAAGAAGGAGGAGGTAAGTTTGGGGCGTGGTGTTGCATATGTGTGTGTGTGGCACGGGGGAGTGAGGTGTGTGTGTTTGCATGTGTGTGTGTGGCGCGGGGGAGTGAGGGGGCGTGTGTTGCGTGTGTGTGTGGCGCGGGGGAGTGAGGGGGCTTGGTGTTGCGTGTGTGTGTGGCGCGGGGGAGTGAGGGGGCTTGGTGTTGCGTGTGTGTGTGGCGCGGGGGAGTGAGGGGGCTTGGTGTTGCGTGTGTGTGTGGCGCGGGGGAGTGAGGGGGCTTGGTGTTGCGTGTGTGTGTGGCGCGGGGGAGTGAGGGGGCTTGGTGTTGCGTGTGTGTGTGGCGCGGGGGAGTGAGGGGGCTTGGTGTTGCGTGTGTGTGTGGCGCGGGGGGGTGAGGGGGCTTGGTGTTGCGTGTGTGTGTGGCGCGGGGGGGTGAGGGGGCTTGGTGTTGCGTGTGTGTGTGGCGCGGGGGAGTGAGGGGGCTTGGTGTTGCGTGTGTGTGTGGCGCGGGGGAGTGAGGGGGCTTGGTGTTGCGTGTGTGTGTGTGTGGTGTGGGGGAGTGAGGGGGCTTGGTGTTGCGTGTGTGGCGCGGGGGAGTGAGGGGGCGTGGTGTGGCGTGTGAAGTGACGTGTTGTGGCGTGATCGTGCTGGGCGAGGTGAGGGAGGGAGGTGCGGAGGGTGCGTTGGCTGTTCGGCCATGTGCACGCGCCGGGGACTTTGCCCCATTGCGCATGCTCAGTTGTTTTAGCCTTTTGTGAGTGTGTTGTTGTGTTGTTTTTTATTTTGTTTCAATTTGTTTGCACCTTGTGGGTTGAGGTACGTGCATGGGAATTTTGGTTAATTTTCATTGGGAGGTTTTTGAGTTTTGCTGTCCCGTTGAACGCCGGGGACTTTGTCCCATTGCGTATGCTCAGTTGTTTTGGCCTTTTGTGAGTGTGTTGTTGTGTTGTTTTTTATTTTGTTTCAATTTGTTTGCACCTTGTGGGTTGAGGTATGTGCATGGGAATTTTGGTTAATTTTCGTTGGGAGGTTTTTGAGTTTTGCTGTCCCGTTGGACGCCCCTTACAGATTTATATATATAGATGTACTATACCACTATATTGCAATATTATTAGTAATATTACATGTAATATATTATTATTATATTATTATACTATTAGTAGTATTGTATTGTATTACAATATTATGATCAATTACAATATTTTGACCCTTGATCAATTTAGACTCGACTGCATTAGACTCGACTGAATACGGTAACATTATTCTTTCCTTTTTTGCGGCCACGGGAACCCCTTTTTCCGGGAGGGACGTACCTTGGATGGTGCGCTTGAAGAAGGCTTTGCAGGCTTCGCAGGAGGCCACACCGTAGTGGTACCCGGAAGCCACGTCACCGCAGACCAAGCAGAGCCGCTTCGGCATGGAGCTCAGCATGTACTTCCCTCGTCCGGGGGGCTCGTCCGGGTCCTCATCGTGCCGTCGTCGTGAAGCCCCCGTCCCCACGGGCTGGGCCCCGGGGGCCTCAAGCTCCTGCGGGGCCCCGCCAGCACTGGTGTCCGAAGACCCGCTGGGGCTGTGCTGGACCAGGCTGTCCGGAGAGGCCGGCTCCGTCTTGATGAAGAATTCCGCTCGGCGGTCCCGGGACGACATGGTTGGAAGTGGCTGCAAAAAGAGGGGAGGAAAGACACGCTCAAAAGATGTGGAGGAGACGCCACAGTGACGGGGAAGTAGCTCTTGACTCACACTAAAGAAAAAGTAATTGACTCATGCGGAACGGAAGATCGTTTTCCCTCTCCCACATCTTTAAACATATCAGTGGAATGTGGGATTAGTTAAAGGACAACTCCCATAATCCTGTACCTTGTTTAGGCTGGGAGCTGAAAGGCAGTAACATCTGGAGAAGCCACATAATAATAATAATAATAATAATAATAATAATAATAATAATAATAATAATAATGTGTTGTTGTTATTATTATTATTACTACTACTACTACTAGAACAACATTACCATATTATTATTATAACAACATTACACTATTATTATTATTATTATTATTATAACAACAACATTACAGTATTATTACTATTATTACAACATTACACTATTATTATTATTACAACATTACCATATTATTATTATTATTATAACAACATTACAGTATTATTACTATTATTACAACAACATTACAGTATTATTATTATTATTACAACATTACCATATTATTATTATTATAACAACAACATTACACTATTATTATTATAACAACATTACACTATTATTATTATTATTATTATTATTATTATAACAACAACATTACACTATTATTATTATTATTATTATTACAACATTACCATATTATTATTACTATTATTACAACAACAACATTACAGTATTATTATTATTATTACAACATTACCATATTATTATTATTATAACAACAACATTACCATATTATTATTATAACAACATTACACTATTATTATTATTATTATTATTATAACAACAACAACATTACCGTATTATTATTACTACTACTACAACATTACCATATTATTATTATAACATTACACTATTATTATTATTATTATTATTATTATTATTATAACAACAACATTACAGTATTATTATTATTACAGTATTATTATTATTACAACAACATTACCGCATTATTATTATTATTATTATTATTATTATTATTATTATTATTATACGGTAATGTTGTTTTTGTTATAATAATAACAACAGCAACAACATTGCAGTAATATTATTATTATTACAACAACAACATTACCGTATTATTATTATAACAACATTACTGTATTATTATTATTACTACAACAATATTACCATATTATTATTATAACAACATTATATTATTATTATTATTATTATTATTATTATTATTATTATTATTATGTGGCCGGCTCACTGTGTTTGATTTTCCATTATGTTATTTTGCACTGTTTATTTCACCTGAATATTTTATTTATTTTATTGTGATGTTATTTTTGTTGTTCTGTAATTTTATTTTGCTGTAATGTATCGCCGGGCTTGGCCTCATGTACGCCGCTCTGAGTCTCCTCTGGGGAGATGGTGGTGGGGTATAAATAAAGATTATTATTATTATTATTATTATTATTATTGAGCCCCAGGTGACGCAGTGAGTTAAAGCACTGAGCTTGTTGAGGTCGCAAGTTTGATTCTGGGGAGCGGCGTGAGCTTCCGCTCCCCAGACTGGCGGTTTGAACCCAGGGAGGGGGTGAGCTCCTGCTGTTAGCCCCAGCTTCTGCCCACCCATCAGTTCGAAAACATGCAATAATAATATTATTGTAATATACCTACTGAGTAGATCAATAGGTACCGCTTCTGCGGGAAGGTAATGGTGCTTCAGGTAGTCATGCTGGCCACATGGCCTTGGAGGTGTCTATGGACAACGCCGGCTCTTCGGCTTAGAAATGGAGCAACTAGACTTAAAGTCAGGGGAAACCTTTCCCTTTACTATTACTATATTAGAATAATATTATATACTATGTTACAATAATATTAATATAATAATATATACTAATAATATTGTAATATATTACTATATTACAATAGTATTATAATATATTATTATATTAATCCTAATAACACAATATAAAAATATTACAATAATATTATATACTATATTACAATAATATTAATATAATAATATATTACAATAATATTATAATATATTATTATATTAATCCTAATAATAACATATATTTATATTGTATTATCATTAGTATTAATATAATAATATATAATAATACTATTGTAATATATTACTATATTACAATAATATTAGAATATATTATATTAATCCTAATAATAACACAATATAAAAATATTACAATAATATTATATACTATATTACAATAATATTAATATATATTATTATATTAATCCTAATAATAACACAATATAAAAATATTACAATAATATTATATACTATATTACAATAATATTAATATAATAATATATAATAATAATATTGTAATATATTACTATTAATAGTATTATAATATATTATTATATTAATCCTAATAACACAATATAAAAATATTACAATAATATTATATACTATATTACAATAATATTAATATAATAATATATAATAATAATATTGTAATATATTACAAAAATATAATATATTATTATATTAATCCTAATAACACAATATAAAAATATTACAATAATATTATATACTATATTACAATAATATTAATATAATAATATATAATAATAATATTGTAATATATTACAATAATATTAGAATATATTATTATATTAATCCTAATAACAACACAATATAAAATATATTATAATATTATTGTAATATAATAATAGTAAAAGTTGTGAGATGTCGCAAAGATCCAGAAAGATGCAAATCGTGTCCTTTGCCTTCAAGGTGATCCAGATCTTTCAGATCTAGTGCGAATGTGCAAAAGCAATAGATCTCAATAGATATTAGGAAGATTCCTTTATGTCATAGATGCAGTAGCGAGGATTCTGGCATTCAGAAACGTGGTGTGCCAAAAACCATTGGAATTTGTGACTATAATTAAATCTTTTCTCGATTCTTCCTTTTATTAGCATTTTTTTTTTTTTGGTAATTACACTGCGACCCTCCTTACGTCCCGGTACGGAAAATAACAAACAACAGCAGGACATAAATACCAAAATAGAAAGCAAGCAAGAAGTCCATGCAAGTGTTACAGAAGCCGCATTGATCAATTAAGGGGGAAGGATGCACCCCAAAAGGGTCCGGAACTGTGCATTTCGACCCACCGCTGAGTGGGGCAGAGCAAGGCTCAGGTTTGGGGTGAAAGTCCCTCCAAAAGCTATGCCATTTTGGCACCTCCGTCATCCGGACGGCTCAAGGTCACTCCAGGGAGACTCCACCCCACATCAAAGGAGGAAAGGCACTCTCGGCACCTTCTGCCCCACTCTCCTGCCCCTTCCCGTACAAGTTCCTCAGAGGGAGAAAAACCCTGGGATTTCGCAACTTAAAACACAATAAGGAGGGGAATAACCTCTTTGGCGTGGCTCTCTGCCAACCCTCTCGACTCACCTTCACTGCCACAAAACCGAAACTGTGTTGACTTATGTCTCCCCCAATACCCTGCAGACCCTTGTTGACATATGTCTCCCCAACACATTGCAAACCCATTTTGACGTATGTCTCCTCAGCACCCTGCAAACCCCAACACCCTGCAGACCCTTGTTGACATAGGTCTCCCCAACACCCTGCAATCCCATTTAGACGTAATGCCCAATAATTGGTTCTCCCCAACACCCTGCAAACCCATTTCAACGTAAGTCTCCCCAACACCCTGCAAACCCATTTCAACGTAAGTCTCCCCAACACCCTGCAAACCCATTTTGACACAGGTCTCCCCAACACCCTGCAAATCCAACCCCCTGCAGACTCTTGTTGACATACGTCTCCCCAACACCTTGCAAACCCACTTTTGACATAGGTCTCCCCAACAGCCTGCAAACCCCTACACCCTGCAGACTCTTGTTGACATCGGTCTCCCCAACACCCTGCAAACCCATTTTGACGTATGTCTCCCCAACACCCTGCAGACCCTTGTTGACATATGTCTCCCCAACACCTTGCAAACCCATTTTGACTAATGTCTCCCCAACACCCTGCAAACCCCAACACCCTGCAGACCCTTATTGACATATGTCTCCACAACACCCTGCAAACCCATTTTGACGTAGGTCTCCCCAACACCTTGCAGACCCATTTTGACATATGTCTCCCCAACACCCTGCAAACCCATTTTGACGTAGGTCTCCCCAACACCCTGCAAACCCATTTGACGTAGGTCTCCCCAACACCCCGCAAACCCATTTTGACATATGTCTCCCCAACACCCTGCAAACCCATTTTGACTTAGGTCTCCCCAACACCCTGCAAACCCATTTTGACATATGTCCCCCCAACACCCTGCAAACCATTTTGACATAGGTCTCCACAACACCCTGCAATCCCATTTAGACGTACATCCCCCACAACACCCTGCAAACTTATATTGACGTAGGTCCCCCCAACACCCTGCAAACCCATTTTGACAGAGGTCTCCCCAACACCCTGCAAACCCATTTTGATGTATGTCTCTTGTTGACATAGGTCTCCCCAACATCCTGCAGACTCTTGTTGACATCAGTCTCCCCAACACCCTGCAAACCCATTTTGATGTATGTCTCTTGTTGATATAGTTCTCCCCAACACCCGGCAAACCCTTGTTGACATCAGTCTCCCCAACACCCTGCAAACCCATTTTGATGTATGTCTCTTGTTGACATAGGTCTCCCCAACACCTGGCAAACCCTTGTTGACATCAGTCTCCCCAACACCCTGCAAACCCATTTTGATGTATGTCTCTTGTTGATATAGGTCTCCCCAACACCCGGCAAACCCTTGTTGACATCAGTCTCCCCAACACCCTGCAAACCCATTTTGATGTATGTCTCTTGTTGACATAGGTCTCCCCAACATCCTGCAGACTCTTGTTGACATTAGTCTCCCCAACACCCTGCACACCCATTTTGATGTATGCCTCTTGTTGACATAGGTCCCCAACACCCTGCAGACCCTTGTTGACATAGATCTCCCCAACAC